TGATGTCAATGGCGTTGCCATGTGAAAATATAAACAATAAAAGTTAAATTAAGATTTAAACTTGAGACAGTAATAATGACTATGTTGTGGGACCGGGTACTGCATAGATTTAAGGCAACAAGCGACCAACTCCAAAGAAGCGATATAGATTTAGCTACTGCTCTTGGCTTTCTGCGCTCATGTAACATAGTTAGAATGGATGGCTAAAACCCTTCTAAACTGGCTGAACTACGCCATCTACTGCCACAAAGTGGTACACAAACGGACCGTAAAAAGGACGGATTGTGGGTAATCCTCAGTGTAATGGAGGATTAAAAGAAGGTAACGTGTTTTGTTTATGTCCGTGGAAAATGTTTACTCATTTCATTTATGGTGAAGCTAGCTTCATTATGTTAAATGTCCTTTGTCTTTGTTTAAAGTTGCCATGTTTTTATTAAGTTGGTGATATGTTTTATTGTCTGTAACAACAATGTCCGTTTTTTTTAGCTAGCTAACATCCATTTTATGTCGTCCTTCTAGGGCCACAATTTCCTTTGTGTCCTTTATATTTTACAGGTATGTTATGTTAAGTTGATTAACCTGTATGTATTTTTGGTTATATGTTTCATTGTATTGCTTGTGTAGTCAAGTTCTGTTCTTATAAAACTATACGATCACTGTCTTAAGTATTTTGTGTGAGTGTAATGGAGGATTAAAAGAAGGTCCACAATTTTCTTTGTGTCCGTTATATTTTACAGAAGTTAACAGCTCCAGCACGACAAACATAGAAAGCAGAAGACATCTCACAGGGGTTACACTCACTGCATTCATATGTTGGCGCTCTACGAGAACAGTTTGCAGAGCTCGAAGAATCCGCACGCCGCACGCACTGTTAGTGCCACACAAAACTACTAGTTTGACACTCGACGTGTGAGAAAAAGAAAGACATTTGCAGACGAGTGTGGTGATGACAGTGAAGTAGCTTTTACTGATAGTAGTCAAGAGATTTAAGGTTGAAACATATTATGTCACCATTGACAGATCTGGATAGTTCCTTCTCAGACAAACTTATTCAGTTCAAGCACTTGAGACTTCACCTGTACAGCTTCTGCAAGCTCTTGAGAGACATGGACTTAAGACAACATATCCAAATGTTTATGTTGCACTAAGAATGTTTTTAACCTTGCCGGTGTCTAACTGTGAGGGTGAGAGGTCGTTTTCTGTTTTGAAACAAGTTAAAAATGAGCTGAGGACCACAATGTCACAGACACGGCTCTCTGCACGTTCTCTCTTGACCATCGAACATGAACTTGTTAGTGCCCTTGATTTTGAAGATATTGCACACCAGTTTGCACATTCAAAGTCCAGACAAATACCACTGTAAGATGTGTTTGCAAAATGAAATCAAGCATTTCATATGTAAACATGCACTTTCCCATTATTTAGGATTAAAATTGTGTATATTGCCAGATTATGTAGCATTTCTGTAAATTGTTTATTGTTGTTGACAAAAAACAGGCAGATTTCAAAATGTTTATATTGCACTATAACTTCATTGTCCTTGTCTTGTCTGTGGACTTCCTCTATGATGGCTTTATCAGTTCAATACATTTGTGTTGGGAATAGGTGTTGTTAAATAAATATGGATGCTTTGAAAGTGGTTGCTTATTTATTTTGTGAAAATTGATTAAACTTCCTTCCCTCTCTATGTAGTGGGTCAATTTTGCCAGATTATAATGATGCTGATGAGTTTTGTTTTCATAAAATCATATGTGAGTGAGCGGCCTTGAGGTGCATTTGTTGTTCTATGAGCATTTGCACATCTGTACATCAAATGTACTTGATGACAGTTAGTTAGATGAAAGTATTGAGTATATTAACTTCATATTACTGTAAATTATTCTGTATTTTTCATCCTGGGGTCGTGATCATGGGGCCCTTGAATATTTTTGCGCCGGGTACAGCGAAGTGTTAATCTGGCCCTGATCATACCCACTTACATGAGTACTGTCTGCCTGTCAGTCTGCAAATGAACCTCGTTAGAAATGTGTCTCATGGCCCGATGAGACTCGCGGTAATGAGCATGTATGTGTGCGTCTGCTTATGTTGGAAGTGACGTTTGAAGAGAGAAGCAAATAGCTGATTAACTTGTCTCTGCAACAACAGGCCCACCTGTTGGCGACACAGCTTCCCAGGTCTTGGTTCATGGTCCTCCAAAATCCTTTTTCCAGAAGTGATACACTTCTTCCTGTTACACTGGGAAGCGAATACGCTATTAATAGCAAACGAAAGTCCAGGAATTTTTCCGCCAAACAAACAAGGGCAAACTGGTCCTCACTCAGGTCAGACCGCCAAAGACCGGAGACACTGACAACCAGCCACTTGTCTAAGACTGATGGTCTGACTGAAGCAAAGCACTTTTGTTTCAGAGACTCCCTCTAGTGGTTAAATGGAAAAGGGCAGACTGATCTCGACTGATCTCAACTGTGAGATTATGGGGCAGTGTCTCCCAGTGTCACGTTTCAGGTTGTGCAGGTTAAAGTCTATGAGACAATAATGTGCTAATAGCTCAGCAGGAAAAGCCACCTAGGGGTAAAGAAACAGAGCCCTCATCACTAGGCAACTTCGTAAAGAGAGAAAGCACAACAATTAAAGAGAGAAGTCCACAGAGACATGCCATGACGAGAACAGGATTTCTGATCAACTACAACAGGGGGCTATTCCACCAGACAGCCTACTGACGGAAGGTACGGAGGGTAGTGTCAAGTTAGAGGACAGTAAGTTAAGATGAAGGTAAGAGCTTCTGCATGACATCAGATCACAACAGAAAGCGCAGCAGTGACTCATGCGAAAGAGAGGAATTCCCTCCAACTCTGTGGCAGATTTGGAGGGAAGTATAGAGATAACCTCTATACTTCACGTCATATAGCTTTAGCTGCAAAGCTAGGACATTACATATTCTGCTTCATGTGATGCAATAACGGCCCGGAGCGAGAGAGACGCCTGCAGGCACAGATAGATTCCTGCACATGAGAAAACTGCAATCGATTCTTTCACCAGCTAACAAAACCCCAACACTAACACACTACAGAGCTGGGTGTGACGTGAAGGAGAATTTGTATATTTCGGTCGCTACAAGTAAGGCAGTAAATACTGACGGTTTCGGTTCATGACATGGATTGAACACCAAAAGCTGCAGCTACAGTAGATGTTTCTGCAACAGTAATCTTGCATGGACAACAGCAACAGAATTGTAATGGGTAGGCTGTATGTGGCTCTTATGACAGACCGGGAGTGCAGTGGGTTCAGTCAAGCGGCTAATTGAAAGGACTTAAATAACTGCATGGATGGAGAGAGCTCTAAGTTATTTATTACTGCAGCATAAACGGCTTCCTCAGCAAATACGAAATCCTGTGCATCAACATGAGTTACTGCTGGTGATCTGCTGCAGCAACTCAAACACTCAACATTTGTGCCGCGGCGCACGCAGGACGTTGCTTCAAATGAGATCGGCGTTAACATTAAATCACCTCAGATACATTGCTGCACAAACTTTCAAGTCTCTCCCGACACAGATCCCTTTCAAAGGGGATCACAGAGCTACGATCATTTACCCTGAATACCGTCGCTGTACAAATCGAATGAAACCCTCGCGCACACCTTGTGAGTAGACAATTACAATAAACTAATTATTACACCATTAAACTTATGGGGACATTAAATTGCTGTTAAATGCTAATAACATCAAATATTATTATAAAAATATCTTTAATCATAGAATGGCAGCGGAGATTGAACTACATAGTTTTCCTTTTTTAAATGTAAGTCAAGTCATGAAGAGCTTTAAAGAATCGGGGAATTGTCATTTTCTTTGTTCTGCTGTAATTGTGTTTAAAACGTCAAAGCAAACAATATAGTCCCTAATAAGACTGATTTAAATGTAGTAATCACATTCGGGATGCGAATGAAGGAATCAAACTTAAATGTGGTACATTGAGGTGGGGCGGGGGGTCTAAAACAGTTGGGGAGGGGATCTTTGTCATGGGGGAGATGCAGTGGAGAGATAAAGCGACCCCACTGCTCTGCGTAACCCACCCGGATGAGATAAGGAGAAGCCCGTAGACACATGATAAACTGTTGTTGCTACAAGGGGCCCATTAAAGGCAGAGTACCCATCTACAATCCACGATTCACCCATCAACTTGCTTTAGTAATGTTCAGGTTGTTAAACCGTGGGGAAGAAATGATCAATATAAGAACTGCTGCATATCGATTGAAGCGGACAATTCGCATAAAAGACAACAGAAACCAAAGCAAAATTAGCAAAATTAAGATCCTGTAGTACAAACGTGTTCTTTTTCATTAACATGCATCATATTACGGTAACTGTATTTAAAAGCTGTGACGGATCCTGCACAGCCAAGATTACTGTTTAGTTTAGAGCTGACAATATTTACTGACTGATGGAGGATTTAGTTGTGAAAACTAATGAACAATTTCAGGTATTGAGTGATAATTTCACTGAAATACTGTTCCCAGTATTTTACATCACCAATAAAAGAGTTGGCAGCTCTTAGAACATGTACTGTGATTTTGTCCGCATTTTGTGACGTTCAGAAAACATTATAAAATAACAGAAACTATTGTAAAAAAATGTTATAAATAGCTCAACCGAGTTGCAAAACTAGTGTATAAAGTTATCTTACACACACACACACACACACAACATCAGTCAAAGCATCAAACAAATTAAACCAAAGTCCCAATTTTACATCCCAAGATTACAAACTAAGCTGAGCTACAAACTAGAGTAGTAGTGGTGGTTTCCTCTAGAAACTCAGCATCCTCCCTCACTTTCAATTGCCTATTTGTTGAAATGTGCTATACAAATAAAACTGCCTTGCCTTCCTGCTCCTGCTGAGCAGAATGGATTATTAAATGCCCCGGCACCAGCATTCGTGTAACAGCATCTCATCCCCCATTCATCTTACAGCTGTGGGACCCCTCTCCCCTACACTCACCAGGGCTGGTGGTGCTCTGCAGGCTCCCCCTCTTACAAAACGGGGATTTAGGTTTAGGCTTCCCTTGTCCATCATTGTTAGAGGAGGAGGTGGAGGAAGAGGATGACATCTTGTTGGCCGTGCCTCTGTTACTGCTGGAGTCAGAGCTGCGCAGTGGCCAACAGAGGGAAAACGGAGCACTGACGCTGAAGCGGTGCCTCATGGTGGGGCAGCGGGGCGGCACGGCCCATACTGGGGAGGGAGAGGATCCTCTGCAGAGTTGGCTCCTCCCCCTAGCCGGCAGCAGGTCAGCAGGCATGCCGCACAGCGACGAGCTGAAAGGCGGCCCAAGGCTTACCCGGCCCTTGATGGGGGCCATCCGCCTCGGTTGCCCTGGCAACCAGGGAATGAACCTCCTATAGCCGATGCGGGAAGAAGCGGTCCCGCAGGAGAGCATTGCAGATATATGTGTGCGTCTAGCATGACAGCACAGAAAGCATCGAGGTAAGTGAAGAACAAGTCTTCCACTGATCTAAAAATAGAAATTAGAATGTGCGTCCAACCCAGAGAAAATGGGATCGGAATGAACGGCAAGAAAAACAAAAAAGACAAAAGAATTCACATCCGTCTGAGTGGACGAGCATAGAATTCAGCAAGCTGACGAGTGAACTCACAATCTTCTTTTCTTGGAAACGACTGAGGGGAGTCTGGCAGCCTAAATACACAAAGCGAGGCCCACCTGACATGATGTGTTATAAACAGTGGCAACCAATGCCCAGCGAGGCCGGCAATGCGACCACAAGCACAGCTTCCTCCGGAGCGGCTTCTGGAGTTTAGGAACATTCAATACTATCACAAACTTCTGTTAAAAGTTTTGTAACCACACACACACAACAAGTTAGCTCTGACTATTATGCCTTTTTAAAATGATAAAGATTTCAGAATTTTCATGTCAATAATAAAAACGTATTGATTGTTGTATATCACTGATATTAACTTTTGGAATTGGCCATACATTGTATTTTTTGCAACTTTGACTATGACTGAGGTAATCAGGGGAACAGAGCTAAAAGGAAAAGTAAAGATCCCCATCTAGTGGTAAAGAAAATGTAATGCGGTCGGACAAAGACACATTCCCCTTTCTGAGCAAACAGTTTGCTCATCAAAAGGCTCCAGTTTAGAAGCGGTCACAATCATAAGGATTCAATTATTAATTTGCTTGTTTGACGGGCGTTTCCAAACTTAGAAACTTCTGAATACAACAGAATTCATGATGCAACTACAGGATTAAGATTAATAGTTCTGCAAGTCATTTCGCTAAAACTGAACTTGATCAATTGTGAACAAAATGCTTAAAAATTGTGCCCGAAATCAAGCTCCAAAACATAAAAAGCACACATTGATCTCTTTGTGCAGAACCAGGGAAAACCTTTTCAAACTAAGTCCTGTGGTGGTTGACAACGGGCCTGTGCATGTGTACCATAATTCACAATCTCAATTAAGCAAAAACCTGTTCTGAAAATATGTTCCGGTGGGTGAATGACGTGGAAGAGTGGAAGGAGAAGTTGTATCTTTTCCAAGTAAAAATAAAAATCTAATTTTGAAGGGTCTACACTCACAGCCTTTTCTGTAGTCTGACCCAGTTTGTAGAGCTGACGCTCACCATCTGGTGCAGCAGCAGCAAAGGGTAGAAAACACAGGCCTAGTTTTATCTAAAACAAAGAATCTTGACTAAACCCATTACCACGTCACGCATTTTGCTCAAACCGAATTAATAACGATCCCAAAGCGTTACCTGGAAGCAGCAGGCAAACATGTCTTTGGTTTGCTCTCCTGTTTGGTTAAGCTTTTGTCTACTGACCCTTTTGCTAAAATGAGACCACTGTCTTCGGCTGCTCTCGGACCCCCCCCCCCCCACACTCCTCCTGAGCTAAGCTCACAGAATTCAATATTTTGTTTGCAGAGACCATACAGAAAACAACAAAAGGGTCCTTTTCCTAATCAATGCTAAGACTTTCATTTAATCTGAAGCGAGAAATCTAATTTAGATTACGTAGATTACGTCGCCAAATCCATGGATTGGAAAATTAAACCCAGAAGTGTTTTGGGCCTCTTACAAATTGCATATTTTTTATTAAAAGCAGGGCTTCTGCTAATTGCCAGGACGTGATATTTTTCTCGTTACTTAATATAGATTTTTTTTTAAATGTCTCCAATACTATTCCAATTCAAAGTTCACAGATCTTACCTTTAGGACACCACCTCGGTCATAATGACATGTAACTATTCTCCAAAACAATAACATAGCATGTTATGTGTGTCCTTTCCAAAGCACATAGCACTCATGTAAACAGAGTAGTCGTTTCACTCCAAACATAGTAAAATGTATATGCAGTTACTATTTGTTTCTTATCAAGAGAAAGTGTCTGTACCCGTTGAGGGTGATGCGACACTTTAAAATACCTTTGCACGTCATTATTTAAGTTACTTTGATGTAACAAGCGGCTTCGGTGTGCAAGTACATCCGATGACGTACAGGCGTGAAGTAACATTAATGGAGGCTTGACACGTTTTAGGCTAAACGTCTTTCATTAAAGACGTGAACTCGGTCGCCTCCCGTGTGCTGCGCGGTATTTGCACTTACCACGGGACATCGTTGACGAGCAGCCGGGAGCAGAAGAGCCCGTCGGAAGCCCTTCGAGTAGCGGGGGAAGTCCTGGGGGGGGGGAACACACACGGAAGGCAACGTTAGCTAAGCCCGGTGCCCGTTAGCTCGCGAGCTGATAAGCTATCATCACAGACACCGCGTACTTATGATTAACGGTCCCGTAAAGGTTCGCCGCACGGCACCGCGTTTACCACGGTGGCTGAGAGTCAACACTTTAACACCGGTTTTAACCTCAGAAAACGTCACTAACTTTTAACTTTTAGCTCGCTGTCACTTAACGTGTATTGTCTGTTGCGCAACGTCGGGTTATTACTTCCTGTCAGTTAATGACGTCGACTGAATTAATGGAAGCCTCATTCGAGCAGACGTTTAGTATAAATAACAACTCTCTACCTTTGCTCGAGGTGATAACGTGTTTTGATTCCAGGTGGTTCAAAAGGAGGAAGGCGTGTCGCGGGTCCAAAGTCGGAGAGCAAGTAAACGCAAGGAGGAAAAAAAGGTTTTATACGAGAGGCTGCTTTAAATTAATTAATATTCTCATTGTGCTCGCAGACCCTGCTGGTCAGCAGACTACGTGTTTAGAGAAATAGTACAAAAAGAGGTTTACGTTAACCCTGTATTGTCAATTATAACTACTGCAGTGTTAGTCCTATTTGGTTATTACTGATTCATTAACAGTGAACAGAACAATTATTTCAATATAATAACGATAAGACCTCGTAGTGTGATGAAAAAAAGAGTTCCTTCTGAAAGGAGGTCGAAAAGAGGTAGAGAGTGTTGGAGAAATTAGGCCGCTTAGTGCTTAAATACATTACAGACCACATCTCGCTTGTTAATTCAACACCACGCACTCATTTTCAGTAAGTAAACTGGTTGTAAAAGCCCTTTTGTGCAATAGTTGGTGCATTCCATTTAAGCAGACAGACTATTTGCAAAAGCAAACTGGAAGACTGCCAATAGAATAAAAATGGGTTTGTTTTGGCTGACTCAGGGCTTTCGAGACTAAAGTCCAACATTTCATTAAATCATGTGTGTCCCTGGTGGTTAAAACATTGACCCTTATTCAAAACAACAGATTCAATGTTAATAGTTGTATTCAATTCTGTTACAGTGTGATCGGGCAATGTGGGTGAGAGCTTCACTGGTTGGGTACAATGTTTTCACTCTTATTTTGAGCCGTAAGAAGCTTTAGAAAACAAGCGCCATGGTGTTTAACATGCTCACAATAACACAACGATTAAGTTACATAGAACCGTGATCAAAATATACTTTGCATGGTAATGTTTGGTCTGCACACATGTGTTAATCTTCTCTCAATGTTACTTCTAATCTTAGATCCCTCCTCAAGTCTCCAATGCAATGTATCGGGGAATTTGGTGGAAATAATAAAATCTTGTTTTTGAGCTCTCTGTGTCCTCATCCGTTGACAATGGATTATCATAATAGAACCATTTTACTTTTGCTAAAACAAAAACGGGTTTTATTTTTATAAAAGATGAAAATTGAAAGTGGAAAATGCCATAGATATTAAGGTTTAGCAGTCAAATATCAACAGCACAATGGAGAGTAGAGAGTTATTGCAGTTTACAGTTTGAGATACCGACTCAGGCAAGCCAGAGATTGTGTAAGAAACAGCAAAAAAAGTTTACTCCAGTTAAGTCTACAGAATGTATTTTAAGAAGTCTGAAATAAGGGTGTATTGTTGGATTCCCATTAGAGCCCGCTCCTCCTCCCGCCCACTGCAGCACTGAGAAATGTCACTAGGTAATAATTGCCATGGGGACAGCGGATCCCGGCAGAGCTGGGGGCGGTTTGACTGAGGTCCATCTCTAGTGTGAGGCCTGTCGCACATCAGTATCATCCAACAGAAATCAATCAACCAATCAATCCATCAATCTATCTATGAATCAGTCATTATTACATGTCTGTCTATCTATTCATTTTTTGTCTTTTGACAGCTATATCGTTACGTTTTGATGAGAGTAAAGAGTTTGAACTTAAATGTTAGCTTAAGGTCAAAGTGTTTGAAGTATCTTCCCTACCGTCTCTTTGTAAAAGAGTGGGTGGATTAAATGTATTTGTGACAGCAGCAGCACCATAATATTGGTAGAATTATGAGAATGCATTCAAAATGTTTTACAAACATAGAAACCCTTTATTACAACAGTATCCCTCACTCAAGTTTTAGCTGTGTACTTTTCTAAAACCCATTCATATCATTGCAGTACAGTGGAAGTCATTCTTTTATTTTTTATCACAGCATTAAAAAAACAATCTCTGAACAAGTGAAAATCCTAACACTAACATACAACATCATTCACAGTTTGGGATTATTTAGACGTGATGAAAATAGGATATCAAGCTCGATAAACTGATTTTGGATTGGCATTGTCACTCAAAAAATATCTTAAAAACCCTGTATCTACATTACATAATAAACATTTCCACATATAGATTATCGTGTTTATCTGTGCGGGACTGTGACAACCTTGATTTGTCCTGCATGTGAGGTACTGTAAAAACCCTGATGAGCAGGATAGTCAAACTAAATCAAAACGTATTCTCCCAGAATAGAAAATCTCCAAAACTAAGAAACAAAAAAAAGGAGGAGCATACTTATCAAAATACATCAGCCTCATTGCACGGAAGTTCAAAATAAATGTCTACACTCACTAATCAAAATAAAATTGTGCATGCTGAGTGGTACACACAACTCAAACTTATACAGTTTTACTAAACGTAACATACAATTACATACATTTAACAAATGTAAGGAATATAATAATATTTGAAAATAATTTAGTGGATCAAGAGAATGCAGGTTTTAAAGATCTGTATCTAAACACGCTGGTAAATACATCACATGGCAGAAAGCTGGGTGACCTTTAAGATAAGTCAAATCAAACTGCATCCTAAACTGAGTCGAGATCTACTTTATAGAAAATCAAAGAAGTAAATGTGTTTGGACAAGCACCAAAGAAAGGAGAACAAAAAAAATGGTAATCTGTAAACAACGGGGTTGCAATTCCATAAGCGTTAGGCCACAGTAAGTTACATCTGCTAGTCGATTATAATCAGATTGGCATTGGGTTTAAGAGTGGCATTTTCACTGATGAAACCACAGCTACCGATCAAAAGTGACAAGTGCTTTTCCCTCAATAAATTCCCTACCTTCTGTGGCTTTTATTGCTGCTTTCTCGGCTATTACTTATGAAAAAGTAACTAAACGAAGTCTCAAAAATGATTGATTAGGCAGTCACATATACAGTACCAGTTGGTTTAGTGGAACTGCTTCATCTTCATTTCTTAATACCAAAGGTTTCCCTGCACAATAATGTGATTTGTTTCAGTTCCCTAATTTTCTGATAAAAGTCATTTTCTAACACTATTAAGTCAGTTACCTTCATAGAATGAAACATACAATAATAAATAACATATATAATTAATGTTATTTTTATCTTTAAAAAAGGCTTTAACTAGTTACACCGATCATAATCATAGAGGTTGTTTGCTGTACAGAGCTGAGTGGTTGTGTAAAAGGCCATTTTTGCCATTTTCAAAATCTAGCAGTAATTTCCCTGTTCACAAACAACAGTGTTAGATACATTTTAAACAACGGCATATAATTGTATACTTGTGACTGAACAAATGAATGAGAATGAGGCAAAGTGCAATGATTCAAAATACAATTTAAAGTTGTTTCAATTAACTGAGCTGCTCGTTGCACAGCTTTCAGTATAGAAATATGACATGTTTTCACAGAAATAACTCCTGATCTTTTTTTTTATATCCGAATGATCAAAATCAATCATATTTTCCAACATTAATGACTTAATTGTCTGTACAAATGTGGTTGTTTTTTCCCTGCACAGACTCAATAAACTCTGACGTCTCCTCTGCGATCTGTCCGGGGATACGGAAATCTATCGGTATGGACTGTGCCGGCTCCGGTGGTTGGGACTGAGCCGCGGGGCAGCAGGCCTCCCCTTTAGGGCTGGACGTGCTGTGAGAGTTTTGAGGATCAGTGTTGCAGCCGGTGCCCTGAAGAAACTGGAGGAAATTCTCCTCTATGGATCCTTCACGGCTCGGCAGTCTTTCCTCCATCTCAACTCCTGTTCGACGAAACAGAAAAGGCAGATGCTTGCCCAGCTCGTCCCGGATCTGTCTGTTGAGACAGCCGTAGAAGAAGGGATTGGAGGTGAAGCAGAAGTAACCAATCCAGGTGACCGCCTCCTCCAGAGAGGCCAGTGTGGCTGGAGGGCTGGCAGACAGTGCGGAATACAGGTGGAAAGTAAAGTAGGGCAGCCAGCAACACAGGAACTGCCCACCTACTGCCGCCAACACTGCTGCTGCCTTGCCTCCCCCAAAGGGACGCTGCGGCGTGGCTCCGCCTGTCCCGGTCCCTGTCCCAGAGCTGGTCACCATGGTGGAACGGCTGCTGAGGGATTCTGACCGCTGGCGTCGAGGCGTGTCCATCCAGGTAGGCAGAGGCCCGTGGTGCATGGCCGCTACCCGAGCAACTTTGAACATATTGCAGTACACAACCAGGATGACAAGCAGTGGACACAGGAAATACACTAAAGTAAACAGCGCCATGAAGGCCAAGCGGTTGGAGCCTCCCCCTGTCCAATGCAGTGAGCAGCGCCTGTGACCGTGAGGAGGTGGAGAGGAGACAGCACCGCCTGCTCCTCCCGTGACCCCGCCGCCCTCCAGAAGTGGACTTCTTCCACCTTGAAAAAACCAAGCGAGCAGCGGCAGAGCCGACATGGCCAGGGCGTTGACCCATATCCCCACCAGCACTGACGCCACCAGGCCAACGGTCATTTTCACTTCATAGCGCATCGGGTGTATGATGTAGTAGTAACGCTCCACGTTGATGACGGAGATAGAGAGGATGGCGGCGCTAACCAGGCACACGCTGAGAAAGAGGTAGCTCTGGCACAGGGCCTCCCCAAAGAAGGCTCGGCTTGAGAGCATGCCGAGGGGCATCAGCACCAGGGCCGCCAGCAGGTCCACCACGCACAGGTGGAACACAAAGGCAAACTTGTGAAGCTGTGGGGCCTTGGCGATGACCGCCATGACAGCCGCATTGCCCACCACAGCCAGCAGATCCATGAGCAGCATGGCCAGCAGGGCTAGGGACTGGGGCAAGGCCCAGCCCTCAGACAGAAAGGAGGCAGACATGTTGGTGATGAGCTGTGGAGGTGGGTGGGAGGAGTTCCACGTCGGCTCCATTGAAGGGTGGGATGAAGCAGGCAGGCAGGAGCAGTCACAGGCCCATCACCCATCCTTCAAAGCCAGGAAGTACAGGCCAGAAAACAGCGGCTGGAAAACGGGGTCAAAAGCTGGCTTGATACTGCAGGGTCAGATTTTACGATCCCTGTCCGTTTAGAATGTCTTCTTGTCTGCCGCCAGTCACAACCCACCCTAAAAACAAGAGGGACACATGGAAATAAATTGTGAATGTATGTTCATTTGATTATTCCCCTTTTTTGCTCTATTTTTTGAGCTAATCCTCCCAATCAGTTGCTCGTTCTGGTTTCCCTTTTGCCCCAGCTGCAATTGAGATTAATACACTCGGATTAGAAAAGATCCACTTCAGCTTCTCAAATCTCTGTGCAGCAATTTTACCGTTACGGTAAACGCCAGTCCTCAAACCTTTTTTGCAACGTGGTAATAAAAATGAGGAGGATGAATTCTTTAACAATTATAAATCAGCATGCAGTAGAGAATCAAACATTGTTATGATCATACCTATCCTATAGCAAAAAAGATATTGCTTGAATTTGTGACCTTTCTGCACTGATTAACCAAACATAGATACAGGCTTCTACTTAGCTGAGAAGCTGATAGTGATGGATGCTTTTCAAGCACACATCCTGTCAGTGCACAAATGTATGCAAATTCAGCAAAACCACATCAACAAAAAGGTAGCCCTCTTTTCCTCATATCTACACCTGCTCTGTTAGCTCTTGTTGAATATACAGGATGTAAATAGATTGTGTAAGGCAAAAAAAACACAACAGTACAGGTACTGAAATAGCACACAATATGAGTGAATATAGAATTTCAATTGTAAAACTTCATTCATGGGTTGCAAAGTCTGCATATTAACTATTCCTGGTTATTACAGAGAACAAACAGACATGGCTGGTTGCCACCATAAGTATGTGTCAGATCGAGGGAATCCAATTGTTTACTGCTATTAATGCTCTCTGCAACAGATGCTACAAAAGCCTGGGATGTTCTGTCTTTCTGTCGGCAGTGATTGAGGCTTCAAGTTGAGCTCTAACCTCCCACCTCACCTATGAATGATTGCATTCAGTGAGCAACATCTTTAAATAACACATAGGGGTATTCCCAATTCAGTTTAACCCTCCTGACAGTGTTATTCATCACTAACCGCCTACTCATTTATATATTAATCATTAATGCATTACCCCGCTGTTTAAGGCCCACATTCTATATGTCACATGACCATCGAAATAGCTTTATCGTTGCACTCAGCAGTATGTACCAGCAGATTAGAAGAAGAGGCTGAGAGCAAGCGAGAAAATGTGGTAGGATTATGGGAGCGTGAGGGGAAGAAACGGAGAGAGAGCATCATGTACCTGAATCAGAGCATTTCCCGATGAAAGCTGTCTGCTGCTTTTGGTGTCTGAGGATGGAAACCTGATGTAGCTCCCAGTGCTGAGGGACCCAGTGGACATCAATCATTGCACAGTGTGGATGCTGTTGAGGAACTTCCCACTAAAGAAGCCTGTTTGTCTTCCCATTCCTTGATCTGCCGCGTGCATCCTCTTCCCTGGATGACTTGAGCTGTGGCAGCAGAGGCTTCTCTGGAACGATGCTGATGTAAATGCATGCAAAGGGACACCAGCTCACACTCTGCTTTCCCCCTCCACTCAAACACAGTGACTGCAGAGATGGAGCAGGAGGCAGCGAGAAACAAGACCAGAGCTCCCGTCTTCACAGGGTCCTAGTGTCCTCACTGTTTTGTGAATTGTACCTTCGGAAAAGCAGTAACTGAATGTGACGGTGGTGAAACGCTATGTTGTTGATGTACATATTAGCAATGTAAGCTCCTTTTCACCCATCAGGATGCTCAGAGTAATTACTTGTCCATCACTTCTTTAAAAAATACAATATACAGTATTTTTAAATATATTTCAACAATTATCAAAAAAAAAAATTATCAGCTCAGTGAGCACCGAATTTCCTCGATAAAAACGTAATACTGTTATATATATTTTCTTATCTATATCTTAAAGATTCTATGAGAGATCCTTTAATTCAACCACTAGGCCAAATCTATTTGTTTATCATCCTCTGACACGACACCTTTTAAAAATAAAAAATAAATTCTTGCCCGCTTCAAATAAAGTAATGTACAATCGTTTGTATCGTTCTAACATGCTAATAGCTGGTCTGTTACATTTCATGTCCATTCCACATTGGATGCTGCCATGCAAACTGCAGGCCTACATGTTACACAATTGTCATCATACAGCGTAATGTGATTATTGTGCCAATAGGATAAATATATGTTAAAATTAGCAGGTTAGCATGGCTGCGAACCCTAATTGCTCATGAAAGGAAAAGTTGTTCCATTTTTTTTTTTACCCGCTTTTCTGGTGTCTAAAGGTATTACAGCCTGTATGGCTGTGTTGTGTTGTGGAACATATTCCTGAGGGATGCAGGGGTGTCAAACTCATTTTAGGTGGGGGGGCCACATACAGTCCACTTCGATGGGCCGGACCAGTCAAATTTTTGGCAATCGTCCGGATGCCGCGGGGGGGGTGCGCGGATGCTGATGACCCAGGGGGGGGGGTTCCGCTCGACCGGGGTTGTGTTGCCGTCATTTTCGTTGCTGCCTGGAGGAACGCTGTCATCGATCCTGCTCCAACGCATGTGCTCACTTACAGATTACAACCCTCAGTGGACTTTTTCGGAATAGCAGCTACTTTTATAGAAATACAATTTATGTCTTTCTGTCATTTTTACACTTAGCAAAGTCATCCGGCGGGCCGCACTGGACCCCCCCCGGTGGCCCGGATCCGGCCCGCGGGCCATATGTTTGACACCCCTGCTTTCAAGCTTAACAGTTGTCCTCCTAGTGACCTCTTTACTAAAAAATATGTGCAATTCAAAGTCAGCCTTTTATGATTTGGGTTGTAATTTCAAGGATTTACCGACACAGTGAGGCATTGATTAGGCCAGGCCTCTGCCTCCACAATCCCAGCTTCACAAACTGGGGCTCTTGTTGCCACGGTGATCTTCCTCATATACAGTCCATCTCTTGGTTCTGTCAGTAGAGGACAATGAAATCTGGGCTATTATGGGTAAAGCTACTTTTCCGAAGGTGCACCCGTGGAGCTGCTTAGGTGTTTTTCATTAGGTTAATGATAACACACATAACATTTGCATTTCATAGAGATCCTGTCTTGCACCTTTTACACTGTTGAAAATTATGTTTTGATTTGCAGCACCGCTCCTGAACGGATTGTTTAATGTAGTTCACTAAAAGCTTCATTATAATAATGCCACTGGTTAAGTCACTGTGAGAAGTGATGTCGTAATATCAAACAGTTTGGAGCTTTCAACCCTCAAATCAATGAGCTTACCGACAGATGAACAATCATGGAAGGCCCTTGTTATTTGTATTGCAAACTAAGTGGTATTAAAGCTTTATGAGCTTTATGAGCCTCTCAAATATATATATATATATATATATATTAATTGTGATGTGAATATCTGCATTTCTAATAGTATCTTCTGACTAAAACAAAACCAAGTTTTGTCAAATACATTGTGATGGCCATTTGTCACTGTTACTGACTAATATTGAACAATCAAGAAAGTAGATGGCTGATGAATTGATTATGAAAATGCTACAATGACGCAACCTGTTGCCCGATATCACAATGTTGACTGCAGACTGTAAAGTAGCCCTTTTGTCTACAGTCCCAAATACCCTTTACTCTCAAAGATCCTACATATCACAAAATGTCATTCCTCTATTTTGAATTTCATGCAAGCTTATAGTAATCGATGACCTTTTGGACTTGACTGCTTACAAGCTAATAACATCATCTTTCTCTTACTGTCAATACTTCCAACACACCTACACAGCATAACACAAGAAAACACACTGTAGTCGTCTGGATGTATTTAATGAACAGTGATTACTACTGTTGTCATGGTGAAAATGAATCAAGATGTCTGGCAATGCTGAGGAGAAATGGGGAACATGCGTAACGTACCCCTCATAAACGATATATATGATTAGAACAATAAAATAAGTACGTGATGTGGTTCTTGCACATTGTGTGAGTGTAACTGTCTGTTTACACCTGTATTCAGGCATTTACACCTGTGGATGTGTATGTGTGTGTGTGTGTGTGTGTGTGTGTATCAGGTGTTGACTCATGACAAAAATAGCAGAGTCTCGCTCAGCTGGCAGCACCAATCGCTGCCACCACAAATACAATGGTTTCCATGGCAACCTTGAAAATAGACTGCATTCGCACTCAGGAATAGCAAAGGACGCTGCACTAAACCCCGAGAGCTCCCACTGCCAATAATAACTACCCATTGATATGGACGCATAAATATGAGCCGCACTCAGAAATAATTTAATGCCATTACATTTACCAAAACACAATTACCGCAACCTACACAAACAATCATCTCCAATTCAAACGCACATTCAGCACGGGCGTACCGAGGCATGGGAGAACATTGAGCTCTGTGTATAACAACATCAAAGCAAAAGCACAAAGAGGTTGTTCAGTCAAGCTCGACAGCACCTGACATGATTTCTTTCCAAACGGCCAACACATCGTTCTAACAAGAATCCGTCACCTCATATTGTCAGATTTCACGTGAACGCGGTGGACGGATGTTACTGGCTGATGTAAAGGGTGAAGTGATGAATGGTGCCTTGGAGATGCTTTGGGTTGAAGGTTTTATATCTCAGCAGATCATGTAGTACCTGTGTGTTTTTGTGTATCAAGAAGAATCATATCTTGTGGGCTGTTTGTTTTGTACTATGGATCCAATTAACAATTAGTTTCATTAATGAATAATCTGCACATTATTTTCTATATTAATCAATGGTTTGGTGCATAACATGTCAGGCAATAGTGACACATCCAGTAATTCACAATGATGCTTTCTTTAAATGTCTTGGTCAAGGTATTTAGTTCATGATAAATCAAAGAACCGCAGGAAATCTGTTTTAGAGGGAGAAATTTTTATATACATTTTGCATTAGGAAGGACTTTATTACTTTTTATACAACTTTGAACAAACAATCTATTATACAAATAGTTGGCAATTATCTTTTTATCAAATACTTGATTAGTCAACTGTGGTGGAAATGTATACTTGTATTTACTGTGTTGTCAAACTGGAGCTTTATGAATTGTGCTTTGGAAATCATACCATGTTATACCAATTATATGATGTTCTGGGTAATTTATTATCTTGTTGTTATTTGTGAAGTACGACTTTACTAAAGACCTTTATTATAAATAAAGTATCCAACGGTTTGACAAACTGCATGCTTGTTTGATTTGTACGGTACGAGTTTATGATCTGATACTCTAGTTTATGGAAAACAAGAGATTTGTAGTAAATGATGCAATAAAAGAATGTTTCATCGTTTGTTTTTACCGTGTCCCTCTGTTTCATAGCTGTCAATCATTGCTGGCACGAGCTCTGTTCCAAAAAGCTTATCCACATAACGCAGCAGACCTGCCTCTTGATCAGGCCCCTGAACATGTCGGCAATGCCAGATGGTGGCACTGTGTCCATTATGCTGTGCATGTGGTACAGAAGCTGCCTGCTTCACCCACTGTAACAGAGATCACAGTAACATATCTTTAACGCCTGGTTTGGTCATTTATAATGATAAATCATATATATAATTATAAATAGCCGCATGCACTTATCCACATAAAAAAGTAAATCTGACACATTGCTGTAATTATTGTGACTCTTTCGTTGAGGAAAATAGCCTGTAAAGAAAAGTCTAAAGACAAAGTATGCAACTTAAACATATGAATTCATCACGGCACATCAGTTTATGTAATGAAAAGAAATGCACTATTTCTGATAGTAATATACAACAACAATTTAACATATCCAGTATCAGTTCTTTTGAATCCATTTCAACCATTATCATTCTGGTGGTGAGCAGCAAGCAGCTGTTCTTGAGAAAGGACATTGATCTCAGGCCGTATTGGATGTTGCCACAACATGCTGCCGCTGCCCCAGAGCTTAAGCATGTATAATTCACAGGAGAGAACTATAAATTGCCAGAGAAACGCCCTCCACAAGGCCTCCGCCGAAATCATCCCTGCTACCTGATACATCCTGAGAGAACGCTCATCGGGTCTAATTAACCTTTTGAATATGTTGTTCTTGCATGACTTGTTCCAGGGCAGAAAAACACAACTGCCGGGAGACAATAATGAAGATGCTGATGGAGATATTATATTAATAGGAGAGAGCCTGTGTCTGTAGAACTTATCATATTTGATACAGAAAAGGCTTCATCAGTTATGTTCTTTGTTTAAAAAAAAATCATAAATAGATACATTTGTTCTGATTGTCTCCAAACTCCATTAAACCAACCAGTAACAACAGCACAGGACATCTTTCAGGACTTCTCAGATCCTCCATGTATGTGGCACTCAGCCTCGAGCCCCGCCTGCTCTAAAACGCAAATCTTCTCAAAAGGTCAGAAATATTCACATTTTCTATTAAAAAGCTGAGCATTACATTTTTTGAGCAACTGTTACTCAGACTGGAAAAAAATAAGATGTTGATGAGGTTTTTTAACAGTGGATTAACATACTGTATATTTGACAAGCTGGTGAGCATTAAAAACAATAAACTACAGTTCATCATTTTAAAGAAACGTCAGCCAGTGCAACACTGTGACTCAGTTAGATGTTTTTAATATAATGGAGGTGTATGGAACAATGAAATAAGATCTATCGTGTTTTGACTGCACAGACAAAACTTGTACTGTTGGATTTGATTGTTTCATGGGATTCATTTACCATTCTGTGGTAAGCATGTCATACTTACAAATTTAACTAAGAAAAATTCCACAAGGACAAATTCCCAGAATCCTAGCAGCTGCAGAAGCTGTGTGTGGGTGTTTCTTGCAGTGAATTTCTATGGTAATGACAGGTAATTACTGCAACTAAGACCCATGTCACATTATTACACGATGGAATTTGCAGATGCATTGCGCCTGCACAGCTCGGCCGCAGAAACAAAGCTCTGTGTAACACTCAACATCAAGTAGAAAATCGAAATTATTTATTTGATTATTTTTGGTTTTCAAATAAGTGATTTTACACTAAATGCTGTTTTGTGGTTTCAGACACTTCTCTTATGCAGTTGACTGTTAACTTGCCTAAACTGGTATTGAGATACATATGTTACATTACATACATGCTTTTTATTCTAAAGGAGCACTGTGTCACTTTGTAAAGTGGAACCTTGGTGATTAAAGCTTAAGCTCTAAAGAATCTTTTCAATTCACACACAATACACTATGCTTCACACTTTCCCACAATGCTCAGCAGCTCCAGCAGACGCTCAGTTGGAATCTGACCCTGAATGAAGGGCATAGCTTATGATGACGCACACATTGCAGCAGTATTTAGGATAAAAAGTGTTCAATTCAAAAAGTCCCAGATGTAATGCAAACTAATTTGGGAAAGAATGTAAGCATCGACCCTTACAGTCATCCGAGAAAAAAATGAAAGTAATTTATATGAGCCCAACCAATTGTTTAACTAAGCTGAGATGAGGTTATTCTCCCACTGTGTGTGTTTGTTATCTCAGCTTCTCAATGCTTTGCTCACAAGCCGGGCCTGCGATGCATGCTTTCAGGTTATTTAAGTGCACTTTGACAGTATGTAGACTGTCTGGACGATGTAACATTGTCCTGTACCTCAGTACTCACAGTATGACTCGATCCAACATTGAAATCCTGCCGGGTTTCATGTCACAGTTTAATCCTTTTAATCAAAAACTTGCAGGGCAATGTCAAGTGCTGCAAGTCGAACATTGGCTCCCAGCAGACGTAACAAGGTCCCTTCTGTGTTCGCTCTCTTCACCCATTATATGACAATCATTTCATACTCCACACAGCGCTCTCGTTGCTCGCTTTCTCCACCATCCCATCCTACCATTGGCAGCCATAGCAACCAGACCTCTGGACCATTACATCCTCACTTTTCACGTGGCCATGTGTCTGTGAGGTGACCTTGTGCTCAGGAGATTGATAACGAGGAATTTTAATGTACATGAGCTGGATGGTCATCTGTCATGTTCACTGCATCGTTGCCCTTTTCACCTTCTTCAGCTTTAGACTCAATCATAGTGCCGTGTGTTCCTGTGTTCCCCTTGTCGTTTGCAGTAGTACTGTAGAGTCTATCACGTTAATTTGTTCTATTGTATCCTGCATGCTCATTTTCCTGTCTACATATCTTCCCAATATTTAACCCTTGACATTAAAAAACTGCCTCTTACACTATGTGATTGGTGTTGAGTCTTTCATACTGCATGCGAGTTATCTCCAGCAGAGGAGCCAGTAGTTGCAGTAAATGTGCACAGTACTATAAACTATATCCCAGGGCAGCTAGTGCGAATAACAAAGCATCACAGTTGGATCACCAAACAGGCCAAGCTGGCACCTGCCCTGCATGGGACCACAGAGGGACAACGTCTTGTCCCCTGGGTTGTGATAATCTAATTGAAGACATTATTCACTTATGTGAAGGCCCTTAATGTACCGTTGTTTATGGTTTATTATCTAATTATCGGTTCTTGTGTCAAAATCCAATTATAAAGCAGCCAATAACAATATTTTTATAAAAAATAATTTATCAAATTACAATGTCAAAGGGGTCATTTCAATCAGTGGCATCCCTCTGCTTTATGGGCAGATGGGGGGATACCAGCTCGTTGTTCTCCCCTCATTGCTCTTTTTTGCAAAAGCAAACCGCTATTTGCAGTGAAAATATACCTAAAACCCCATGAACCCTAGCCGATCAGCACAAACAGCAGACCACCTGTTTGCAGACCACAGTGAAGCACAACAAAAAAGAAAGATGTTGTTTACGGTTTGTGCTTATATATTGCATTTGGCTAAAATTGTGTGTATACACAACAACTCAAATTGCAAACCTTAGGCCAGGTAGAGGTATGTGACAGAAAGCTCACATTAAACAGTAAATAGAAAGAGGAATATAAAAAGTGCTGAACTTAGACAGACCGGTCCACTCAAGGTAGAAAGAGTGTTATGATCATTTAATGAAACAACACAAGCTAAGGCAACATGTATACATCTTACTGATGTAATGAAGTTACTGTATTACAAATGAACCATAAGTCGTTTTTAGTTAAGACTAAGACTACTGTAGCTGCGGTTCACACTTTTGCTCTGTCCTTCACCAGATTGATAAAAGGTCATTAAAGCCAACATCGACACTGAAAATGAATTAGTAGTTGAAGCTGAAGGAATGGAACAATTGCATCATCCCTGATGTTAACCCAGCGTCTTAAGAAAGCTGCATTGTAATAATAGAAATATGTAATAATGTAATTAGCACTGGGGAAAGAATTATCATTTGGAGCTCACGTCAACGACAGTTCAGCCCCAGATGTTTACCACGCTGCGCCAAAATCGTTACAACGCCGATTTCAGCAATGAGATGCTGCTGTTGAGGCAAAGAGCCTAATGACCACTTGACCATCTGAGGATGAAGTGCAGCCCAATATAGTCCACCGCTTATAGTACACGTTGAGCGCGAGGGAGGAGACACACCTCCTGCTCGCCTGTCTGCGCCCCTCGGATCAACCTTCCCATGGTTGCATTTCCTCATCAGTGCGGACGGCGGACCAAGCCCCCCCCCCCCCCCCCCCCCGGCATTCTGTGCGTTGTGTGGATCCCCTCTGCCGCTGTTAAGAAAAAGATGAAACAGGCCTTGAGCGGAACCCCTCCCGGACCGGGCTGTTGAAGACTCCCGCCCGGGTCTCTTTCGATCTCTTGGAAAGCGCCCAAGGGAAAAGAAAGAGGGGGGCGGGACAGCTCCGCCCTTTTTGGACAAATGTCTCCTGCAATGGGGACAATGTGATGACCGAAGAGGAAGGAGAGGAAGCCGGACAAAACAAACTGCAGCGTGGTGACAATCTTAAAGGAAATCTATTTTTATTCATTTGTTGCCGACATTCATTTCGCTGATTCATCAATTGTGTTATGACGTCATTTTTTTAAAATGCCCGTCGCCCGTAACCTTTTGACCATCTGATGCCCGATGTCATTGGCAGCCAATGATTGGTCGTTATCTTAATGCTTCAAGCGGCTATACGACCATACAGGTTGTGAAAGTGAAACTTAATGTTGTAAATTGAAACAGAACAACTTTGGGTTATGACTAAAAAACTACATGGTTAGGTTTACGAAAAGATTGAGATGAAGAAGTACGCTCGTTACCCAGTTTATGTTCGAATAAGAAGTCATCAGCATCCTCCTTTGGATTCACACAGGACCGATCCCAAAGCCAAAGATAGCCCTCGATTTCCCAAAACTCTTGGTTGATGTTAGCATTAGTCGTGAATAGTTAAGGAAAGCGACTTATGAGGCTTACTTGAGTTTTTGAAAATCTAATCTAAAACCAGCCCACAGGACGAGTGACAGGAACAACAAGGCCCATCAGGAGCTGCCAGCCAAAAGGTCGTTCCCATAGACCTGCTATATGAAAGAGACCTGGTGAGTGGATGCAGAAGATTATGATAACTGTATAGTCAGCATTTACAAAATCATCAATTACAAATTTGCCGTGGTAGGCTTTACAATCTGTACACATGCCACATCCTGTGCGCAGGCAGCCTGATCTCCAAAACCTGTTCGTAAAAATGTATACAAAAATCTTGAACATACAAATTCATAGTGATACATATGGAATAAATACGGACTGCAACTGATGACGTCACCCTATTCAAAGTGAATGGGGACCTGCACCCCGTAAACACACTTTGTGAAGTCTAACGATGACGAAATGACGAGAAATCAATGTTAACTTGTAAGAATACAATACTAACCCTAACTCCCTCAAAAAATCTGAGAGACGTTCACTCAAGAATCCGACATGGTCCGCCATGTTGTTCACTCAAGGGGCGCGGTTAACCCCCGCAGTTCGTATGTATTGTTACAAATTTGTATGTTCAAGATTTTCGTATACATTTTTACGAACAGGTTTTGGAGATCACGTTGGCGCAGGACACAAACAGCAGTCTTCTGTTTCAACACCCTGTGTTTGTTTGGTCCATCCATCGCTCTTGTCATGATTACTGCATTTTCCAAAGGTGAAGTGGCGCCTTTTTGTATCTGTCAACCACGTGTGTCGATAATGACAACCTTCTGATCGTACTAGTAGGTCTTGCAGGTTCCTTCTACCCCGTATCTATGAGGATGTTAACCCCTCCTATTGTCTAATTCAATCAGCAGATGAATGTAATAAGTAGGTGTGTAGGGAGGAGCTCATGAAATGCACCCCTGGGTCCATTAGAGCATGATATGCTGCATTAAGGACAACATATCTGTCATTTGGATCAATGCTGATTTATTGATCTCATTATCCCATATAGCTCCGCAAATCTTCCCCGAAGACTAGAGGACATCCGGGCTCCGTAATCCCGACATGATGGGGAGGTCCCTCTGGATTTCCCACGGTGCCACTGAAGCGTTGTTCAGAGGAAGGAGCTTCATAGCAGTTCTACCTCTGGCGTTACTGTTGCCGACACTAAGAGTCGGCGCCCAGTTCATAGGAAGCCCTCTGGACTGCCAGAAGACCTGTGTTTGTGCCAGCAACATCGTCAGCTGCTCCAGGATCAGTCTAACCAACGTTCCAATCACTCTGCCACAATACACAGCTGTCTTGGACCTCAGCTTCAACAATATCACCAGGCTCCGTGCTGAGTGGACCCCCGTCCCACTCAACAGGCTACACAGCCTTCTTCTCAGCCACAACGGCCTCACCTTCCTCTCCTCTGAGGCCTTTTCAAATGTGAAAAAGCTCCAATACCTGGACCTTTCCTCTAATTACATCCGCCAGCTGGACGAGTTCATCTTCGAGCCACTCGAGCACCTGGAGGTGCTGCTGCTTTACAGCAACCGCATCTCTCAGATAGATCGCACCGCCTTCTCAGGTCTCGCCAGCCTGCAGAGGCTCTACCTGAGCCACAACCAGATCTCACGCTTCCCCTTGGAGCTGGTGAAGGAGCGGACCCGCCCGGATACTCTTAGATTGCTGGACGTGTCCTCGAACCGGATCAAAGCCCTGCCCCTCAATGAGCTCCAGGCTCTGCCCGCCTGGATCAAGAACGGCCTGTACTTCCATAACAACCCTCTGCCCTGCAGCTGTGACGTGCATGAAGTGGTGGCACGCTGGTACATCAAGGAGCTCAGCTCTGCCGTGGACTTCCGGGGCAGCCACACTTGTGTGTTACCGGGCCACCAGAAAGAAAAAATTGCTATACTGGATCTGGACAAGGTGTATTTGAACTGCAGTGAGGTCACGGCTATGGAGAAAAAAGCCTTCCTTGAGCAGTTCCTAGTTCTGGACTGTGACACCAGGGAAAGGAACATGACGAAGAGTTGGGCGCTACCTGGAAACATCCCGGTATCTCCAGCATACAAAATAGCTTTGATGCGTCCTGATGGCAGTCTCCAGATTGGGCCCCTGAAGGCTGAGGACTCTGGAGTCTACACTTGCTATGCCAGTGGGTCCCTCAATGAGACTGTATATGTAACCGTAGTGGTGTTTAATTCCACCGAGATCGGGGGGTTGGAGAACCTAAAAACGGCCTACACCACCCTGATAGGATGTCTGGTTAGTTTAGTTCTGGTTCTCTTCTACCTCTATCTGACACCCTGCCACTGCGCGTGTTGTCCGGGTCAGAGTCTGGAGAAAAGTGAGCCCAGAGACAGCCTCCACTCTTCCACTGTTAGCATCACTCACGCACACTCGCAGACGGGGCAAGAAAGACCGGAAGGCGGAGGCTTTGACAACAAACATGGCGCCTTTCTGCAACCGAAAGACCAGCGGGAGCAGAACGGGAGGTTAAACCCAATAGGCGAGGAAGACGAGGAGTGGCACGGGGAGAGAAGGAGGTCTGACGCAGGGTCTATCAGCTCCGTGTGCTCTGATACGCCGATGGTGGTCTAAAGGTCCATGGCTCCGTCAGAGGGTAGAAGAGTTTAGTTGTCTCTCGTGGCTGAAGGCATGTACTGTTGAGGATGAAGGGCAATGTCTTGATAGAAATCTAGAAACTCCAGAACATTTTCTCGATAATGTAGAGAAATATAGTTAGAATAAGTTTTGACCTAAAACATCAGTTTTTGCACTAGATTGCAATGGTCCAAATATTTTCAATATTATCCTTCTTACAGCAAACTATTGGCTTGACTTACAAAGAAATTGCTACGCACATAAGAATATAAGAGTTTAAAACGAGTTTAGGGATTTTTGATAGAAGTTCCTGAAAAAATGAACACATATTACCTTAGCAATAATTACTCGCTGAAAATGTACTGCATGAAAACAGTTTTAACTTAAACTGAGGCTGCGCTTTGAATAATAAATACCCAGCCGTGTGATGCAGTGGGGATCCAGACACTACAAAGATGTGACGTTTTAGTGCATGTTGGATTCCATCTTGCATTTTTATCTCCAATTCACACTGCACTATGTTTAAAATGTATGCTATGTTTTACATTCCTGTTTTGTTTTTGTGCCTTTACGGGATATAACACTGTTAGGATCATTCTTATGCAATTTTAGTAATCAATAATATTTCTGATTTTAGTGTGGTTCGATTAATAATATGTGGGTTTGCAGTAACTAAGCTTCTATTGAAGTGCTTTTTTTTAATACTTCTTTTTACTTTTTTGATTAATTATTAACCCAGCCTTTTGTGAGCCTTTTTTTCACAAAGTACAGCTGTCCGCTGTCAGTTCTCCAGAGTTCAAAGCTTGGTCATTTTCAAATATGTTGTTACGCCAGTTGCAGTTCAGAACGGACACGTGAAAAGAAACAGAAATAACAGTACTGTCCCACAGCCGACGTAAATAAACACCTTGTCACACCGGACGGTTAATAGCAGCCGGGAAGCATCACCCAGGGGAAACAACTGAGAGCCAGTATCATCCCCTGAATGCTTTAGTGCCCGACCCTCAACAGATCAGCGAATGCCAGCCGGCCACCGCGCTCATAAACACGGTCACAAATAGCAGCCGGAGGAGCAGCCGGCACGCCGGCCTCCTGACGCAGAAATGAAATGTAGCAGCGTCCGAACGTCTTTCAGTTCTCTTCCATTGTTGCTGAAATACCTTCAACTTGTCGAACTTAACTCTTAACTGTTGCCGATGAATTATTGTATAAGAAACATCGCTAATAATGGTGACATGTGAAATGTGATTAATCAGATAGAATAGTAACAAAACATAGCAATCCCAGATGATATATGTAGCAGTGTACTCAATATGTACTTTTATCCTGTCACTTTCTATGGTGCTTTTTAAAGACACTATAGGTGAATTCCATTTATTGTTTAACACTGCGGCGGTCTAATAGTGTAATAATGTAGCTATCATTAACTTATGTCCCTCGAAAGGGGAGCATTGCTACCGTATGCTAAAGTTGTACATATTTCCAACTGAAAGTTGCTTATAACCAAAGACTGTGTCATAGGTTTAGAATGAATAACCTCCTGATTCAGTGTTATTGTATGATGACTTATTGTATTTCATGATTTGCTGTATTATCAATTGTTGTTCTGTTTCTGTATTTCATAAACTTCAAAAATATGTCAACAAAGGGAGCAAATGATGTCGTTATATTCCTGTAAGGTAAATTCTGTCCAACAGAATTGCAGCCACAGAAGTTACAGTGATGGTTTCACATTTTGCAAAATTGACAACCAGGAAGTCGTATTTTATTGCATTTCTCAGACCTACTTTCTTCTGGTAACATTCGGTGCTGCTGGCTTTTCACCCTTATTTGGCTTGTTGACCGTAGGATCTCCCTGAGCAGAAGAGCCCTCTGATCTGTATTCACTCTCCTCTGCCATGAGAGAACATCCTGTTGGATCACTTTTATAATGGCCTCCGGGTGCTTGATGTCTAATTTAGGACTCGAGGAAAAAGAATGTCCTCTGAATCGTGTAGTTGAAGCAAGGAGCAAAATCATGTGGAACACGCAGCGTCCCATTTCTTTAAATGAAATGTGCTGAATCATCACAGTGCATTTTATGTAAAGAAGTAGGTCGATCTGTGAGCTCACCTGCTGCCTCGCAGCCACTCTGCAGGATAAATGATTGAAAAGGTCCGCAGGGATGTTCGTTGTAGCTAGATTAACACATTTGGGGAAAACACTGCAGCAACGCACAATGAGTTTTAAAGTATTTCCTTATTAAAATGTAAAAAGTAAATAATAACTTAAATCAAAGTGTTCATAGGAGGTACCAGAAGGTTTATGATCGTTGTGCTGATGCATATCTCAAAATGGAAATGGGCTGAATAACATCCCGTAAATCACAGATTATAAATAGCACCAACGGAGCTGAGGAAGGTTTCAGATCACCGTACATCCCAGACACGGATGGCATGAATGTAAGCCAGCGACTGTTGACAATGAATGACGGGCGGTCGGTTCTGTGTTTTAGAGACTGAATTCTAAGTACGATGACTCATCCTCTCCTCAGGCCTCTCCCAGGACAATCACATGAACGGTGAAGGACTCACAGAGCTCTCTGCCATCTAGTGGCCACCGAAACACAGCTCGGAATTGGAATAAAACATTTCGGTTGATTCTTGCCTTTGCAGAAATATCCTGGAATAACTGCACAGGCCATCCGCAGCACAAAGATGCTGACTTTAAAGTACTTTTATTAAATTCATTGACGACGTTTGACAATGAATAATGGTTATACAAATGAAGTAAATTACTTCAAACTGGCCCTCTTGGCATGTGTTCAGACAGCCGGAGCAAAGCCCACCCTGTTTTGGCCGACATCAAAGGCCGTGTAGAACTGACGCATGAAGACCTCCCCCAGGATCCAGGAGCCAGATGCAAACCCTGTTGTGCAGCCAGACGCAGACTGTGGAGGATGGAACGAGCAGGTCAGCTTAATCACCTCAGGATGTATAAATACTAGAATATCAATGTAAATCTGCTGAAGGCATTTATCAAACTATTTTTTCTACCAAAAAATCTGTCACTTTAGATACAGTGATTATGGTGTAACTGAACTGCATTGATTGCACAATACAGAGAGGTGCTGTTATTTATTTAACCACCCTCATTGATTGAAATGATTAAAACAATAAAAGTGGCATCAGTGTAAAGGAACACAGAACGGAACATGATGACCTCCGTGATGGCAGGATTGATTGATTCAAGCTAACTTGAATATATCTAGTTTGTGGACTATCTCTTGCCTGCATAATATATCTATAACGTTTTTTTAAGTTTAAGCCTGTATTTTGTTCATTGCTTGTGTCTTTACCATCCTGTACCTTTGTTCTCTATGCTGTTTTTAAACTTCTTTACTACCAAGAACTTTTTGTATGTGTCAACGTTCTTGAATAACTTTGCATGACATTATCATTTATGTAGTAAATTGAAAACATGCTGGGAGAATTGTCTTTGGCTGGTTCTTAAGTCTTTTTCTTTGATCCAACTCTGTAGCAGACCAGAGATCTATTTATTGTTCATGCCAAAAATACAGCTGTGGATTTATGTTGCTTTTTATTACAATGCTCTCTTCAGAACATAATGGGTTGTGTTTTTGATTTGGAAAGCTTGGAAAGCCGAAAGTTGTCTATATCCATAAATTATTACAGCTCTCTACAGCAGAATCAGGAATCAGGAAACATTTATTGTCAAAATATGTCAGACATACAAGGAATTTGACTTGGCAATTGGTGCGGTACAGTAGATAGTATGACAATAGACGTCAAGACGGTAGTGCACGATTAATAAAATAAAATGCTAATTCTATGGGTTAGTAGAATAAGGCTATGGGTTAGTTTAAAATAAAAGAATAAAGTTAAAAATATTTAAAAATTTAAAAAACAGCACTAGCGACAAAAGAAACGGTGGCTTGAGTGCTACATTCATTAATACACAATGTATATACATTTATGAAGCCATAACTTGTTACAACTATTAACTCTTTAAGTATACCATAAAAGTGTTTAAAACAAACCTTTATGACGTAGGCAGATGGAGGGAGAGCAAAGCTGTAGCCGTTGATGTTGAACACAACGTCCGGCAGGAGGTCTGTGACGGCGCAACTCACTGTGGCCTGAGAGACGCATCGACAACCTTTTAACTCTTTCATGAACCCAGAGCGGTGGTCTGAAGAGTGTTACAAAAACATCAAAAGCACTCACATCACCATACGCATCTGTGGTGGCTCCCAACCAACCGTTGATGTTGTTAATATCTCTCTCCGGGCCGAGGATGAGAGACGTGCCAGAGTCCACCGTGGCCACACAATTCCCGGAACACGCAACGGTGTTCCCGTTGATAGTGATGCTGCAACACAAAGCCGTTAAATGCAATAAGGCAAGAAGATGTCCGCATGGTGTTATTTGTGAAACACATCCTGAGTCCTGAAAAGGACACTACCTTTGTATTTGGATGTTCCAAAAGTTAGAGGCTTGATAGAGGGGGATCCAATTCATGGTTCCTGTGTAATATGTGGAATCCAGTCCTCCCAGAACCAAAGCACTGCCTTCTACAGAACTGGTGGCACAGAGATTTCCTTTAAGGTAAATAAAGAAACGCCACATTTTTTCTTTTCCTGACCCAATTGGAGACCTCACCTGCTCAGGTACATGGAGAACATGTTCTGGGGGATTTTGCCCTGGTTCCATAAGTTGTTAAATAAAGGTGTGCCTCCCTCGTTGGACAAACCAGGGAAGGCCAGACCAAGGATTCCATCCCAGGGCTGAAACTCCAGGAAACCTGCCTCTGTGTCAGTGAAGCCAAAGATCTGGTGGTCCACGTAGAGGTTGCTTATCTGATTAGGAAGTGTACACAACAGGTCACGTGCTGGATGCTACGGACGCTACGTGGTGGACGTCAGCAGCAGTGGTGAGAAGCCTACACGGTAACTTTCTTGTAAAATATGAACGTGTCAAGTAACTTGTAATTGTCTATCTCAAATAAATATAGTGCAGTAAAAAGTACAATATTTGAGTAAACCTAGATCACTATCCTTGGATAGCAGTTTATATTATAATTTATAGAATATTCATCCTCACCTTAATGAGTTCATATCCTGTACTCCCAGATGTAAACCCACTGTAGTATGAGATGTGGAAGGTATTCGCGCTGGCCTGAAAGGTGGAGGATGCGGAGCTGTTGTACTGTGAATGTGTTTCTAGTGACAGAAGAAGAGAGAGAAACTGCTGACAGAGAAATTGCTTCATACACAAAGACAGCTGTTACAGAGACTGTATACACATACTGTCAATTCAGCAATTACTCTCATTATTGGTGAATCCTTTTGTTTGAAAAGTACGTTATAATTTTCCAGAGCCTGAGGTGACATTTTCTGATGGTTTCTTTAATCCGACTATCAGTAAAAGGTTTTGGTTTACTGTCTTATATGACAGTGTGATTTGGCAGCCTGTTACAGGATCATCACTACGTCAAATCGCGTTTGATCATTAAACTCACCACAAGCAGAGCTGGTGCAGCTCACGGAGGGAATCCACAGGTCGGCAGAACCGGTGTCAAAGAGAACCTTAAAAATCTGCGGTGGACTCCCGATGCCAATCTCTCCGTAGTATGTCGTCTGGGCCCAAAGTAATGTCAGCGAATTAGCTCATACATTTCGTGATTGCACTGGGCCGAGAACGCACTGGTCGCGTGCAACTCACATATGGGTCAAAGGTCATGGGCACCAAACTCTGCTCGTTCTGAGGGAGGAACTTTGCTGCAGAGTTGGATGGAAACTTCCTCCTGTACTCTTCAAACAGGCCTCTCTCCTCCAGCGCCTGCCTGGCGGACTTCCCTCTCATCAGGGGAATCCTGAACAGGCAGTTCAACACTTATCCGGACGCACACCCACAAGCTTGTTTTGAGAACATGTCGGACCTCATAACTTATCCTAAAAAGGCGTTTCAGCCTCAGTGATTACGGGAAGTAGAACAGAAGCAAACCAGGTCTGAGCGAGAAAAGGTTTCAACCAAAAAACAACTTATTTGTAATGTCTATCGGAAATTATTGTCATAACAGAATGCTTCTTCATTCATTATTATTACCTTCATTATTACCTTCATTCATGTGAAAGCATTATTTTTCACTTATAAAGATAATAATTAAAAATCTTAAACCTTTATAAAGGCCATCGAAGTAAGTATGAACTGATTTTTGAGACTGTTTAATGTTACCTCTATATTCTCCTAAATCCCAAGCAAAGCCTATCAGGGTTTCATTATTTAAAAAACATAATTTAAATATTGGTGGTCATCACTTTTATTTTCTAATTTGCTTTGATCATCACCAACCCTCAAATTCTACTTCTGTCGACATTGAAACATTTATCAGTAAAAACAATTTTTTTTGGCGTATTTTTAGTTGGTCATTAGTGAAGGTTTGTGTGTATCTTACCTGATAATTCCGTGCGAGACGGCCAAGACGCTCAGTAAAACTAAGGCAGACTTCATTATTTCCAAAGCGACCCAATAAAGATTTCATAGAAGTGCAGAATGTTTTTATATAGAAGGTCAACTCAACTCCTCCTTTTACAGTAACACTCAACACAGCCGAACTGATATGAAACCACTTTACAAAACACTGAATAAGTGAATTCAGATAAAGGAAACAATGGGAACAGAGCACTTTTATCCCAATGCCTTTAATCGGTCATCCGATTAGAGTTAAGCAAATAATATAAGTTTACTCAGTTCTACTAAACTTGGACGAGAAATGAAAAGCAACCGTAACACACCCAGCGGAAATAAAATAAACAGTTACGTGTTAACTCAGATAAAGGAAACAATTGGAGCAGCGCACTTTTCTCCCCATGCCTCTAAAAAATAAACAGAATTAAAAATATATATTTTTTCATTCACTAATAACTATTCTAGTTAGACACCCTAACTAGAATAGTTTAATGAAGCTGTTGAAGGTTTGTTTTCATCAGTGAGGTTTAGACAGATTAAATTTAGATACACTTCATACATACGGTGAAGAATTCTACTTGAAAATGTCTATTCTATATTCACTATTTGATCTGTGTGATGAAGGAGATGTCAGATCATGTTTGAAACGAATAAGTACATAAAGTACAGCTCTGTGTTTGAGTTTCAGGGCAGCAGCGAAGATTAAACTGAAAATCGCTTTGAAGGATTATCGAGGTCAATCACAGCAGACAATCAGGGGTTGAAACAAGCGTCAATCATTTAATACGTGAACCAAAAGAAAGTTTCCTTCAGCCTCTTCTCTCATAGTCACGAGAGTGTTTTCGTTAGCGGCGGAGGACTGGAGAGGTTTGACCTTTCCCAGACGCCGTTCTGAATGAGTTTCGGTTGACTTTTCTCAGCCGCTGTGCGTATTTACAGAGAAATGTAAACTATCGCTGTAGAAACTCTCATGAAGTAGCGCGCTGTCACATTGAGTGATGTTGATGGATTTTTTTATGATAAAGCGTAAATTAATTTTGACCAAATGTTATTGACATTAGTGTTACATTAGTTTAATATCTCAAAATAAAATTGCTCAACCATATGTAAACCATAAATCAACCGGATAAGCTTATCGCATTAAACTTAAACACTGATACTGTATCGTTTCTTCTGTTCCGATGCTGTAACTCTGCCCTCTAGAGGACTAAGATCTAAAAGACAAACACTCAAGTTTAAAAAAGGAAAAGACAACAGAATAGGTTTCAAGAAAATATACTTTTATTCAAGTACAAATACAAGTCACATTATTATAATAGAATATACTGACAGTGACCATTTTAGAACAAATTGATCTACTCACCAAGGCTTCTCTCGCGTCCCACCTTCAGGTCAGTCTCACTGCTGGTCACTATGGCGACATGTCCGAGGTGACCTCCTGAAATACTCAACATTTCCATTATGACCAGATCATATTACTAAAAAAACGTTTAGGTGCTGTTGGAGAAAAAGGTGGGTTTAAAAAAAAAAAGGGGGGGGGGGGTAAAAGAGTGAAGCAGAAAAGTTAAATCATCTTGTTTTCACCAGCAGGTGGTCGTCCTCAGGCCGGCTCTAAATTACACAGACTCACGCGGGGTCTGAATTACACGTAATACAAGATCAAGTGATTAGTGTTTTAATGTTCTCAAATTAAATTTATCATCTTTGGAACCCGTTTTGTTGATTCAGCGTTGATTTATGAAACAGGCGACAACAGGAATGTCCTTCAAGTTGTTGATTACACAATAAGATCTGGGACAAAAAAAGAGCAGTGAGGGAAGCGCCTGCAGCGTTTAGACCTTGTAGAGCCGGCAGGTATCAATTGAAGATAAAGCACGACTGCACTCACTCACCAACCTTTTATTGCCCTCCATATCAGTGATCTCCTCCTGACTTGAACTCTTTCACTTACCTAATTTATCAGCATGTGATGAATTAGATCACTAGAAGACTTAGTTTGTTACCATATGACTGAATTTTTCACATATGTTTTTATTAATTAAATCTCATACGTTTGAATCACTTATTTCCACTTTTAAAGAAAACTACTTGGCTTCTTTTTTCTGTTAATGTCGTTTTTTCTGGTCTCTTGTGTTGCTACTTATTGACCTTTGAATGACCAGCGGTCAAAGGTCACAACATGTCATACCAGACCGATAGTTATTGATTATTTGAGATTACACAAAGCCAATGATTCCCTAATAAAACATATTGTGGCCCCCATTATCTGACTACTTCTTTCACCACTGAAATAAGTTTCACTGCTGGATAACAGAAAATATAAATATGTACTTCAGAAGCTTAAATCAGTATATAAAAAATAAGTCCTGATTTGACCCTACTTACCTTGCCAGACTAATACTTAAAACGATTGTTTTATTTAAATCAAAGTCTGCCTGTCTCAACAATAGCTGGGAATTATAGGCATTTATCTCAGGGACATTTTTTTACTCTTTCCTGGTAACTTTTCACCTTCTTCTCCGACTTCTAAATAAGGGCCTGTTTTGTTTGTAGTCGTGTTGCACATTTAATACGTACCCAGGTCAGCGGTTCCGGTCATCTCGGTACAGCAGCAGGTCCAGCCGGGCTGAGAATCAAACCTTTTTACGGGAATCCTCGCGTGGCCCCTCAACGCTGCGGACAGAAGCGGCTTCGGTCCCTTCGGGTGGAGCAGCAACGATGGGCGGCGGCGGTGGCGGCGGCAGCAGCAGCAGCAGCAGCAGCAGTCTCGATGATAAAACGTCCCGACTCGGCAGTTTCAGGATACTCTTCACTTTGCATTCATATGCAGTTAAGTGTGTTAATCAGATCAACATATCAAAACAAATCATTCTGAATCGCTCCTCACGGGACTTGCTTCTCCTCAGCTGAGTTTCCTTTTCCATTTAAAAAGGAAAAATAAAGCAGATGAGGTTTCGCTGTCTCCGCATCTTCTCCAGCACCGGATGAGACTCAGGGGCGGTTCTGCCCGTAGAACAGAGAACCAAGACCGCTGCGCTTCCACCGAGAGGCGGTCAAATTGGCGACGCAACCCTTGTGATGGTGGCAATAACGTGGCGGGCAACAAACCAGATGTTTCTCAGCAACACCTCCGAAACTGGGTCTTAGAGGCGACAGGGGTTTGAGTCACACGTGTGAAGAAAGAGGGAGTGACTCTTGATTTGCCCTTTGCAGAAGGACTGAAAAATAGCATTCTAGTGGTGGGTCAATTTCACTTTGAATGAAGCTCCTCAGAAGGAAGTCATTCGACAAAACGACGATCAACCAAACGAAAACTCAGAACCGAGAGGCCAACCTCCCGTTGGTCCTCACACTTCCTCTCCTTTGGGTTGCGAAGGCTCCTGCTGTCAAAGTGATAAAGCCTTTGGAGTTTGATAGACAATTCCAAGAACAGAAAAGGTCACAGAAGTCGTCTTCCGAGGCAGTCGTGTTTCCCACGAAAGAGTAAATTTATTGAGACACAACCTATCAAGTGCATGTTGCACTTTGACAGTTAGGTATACTTCTTAGGCCCGTGGGCACCGATGTTCTCCATTTCTCTCTCCAGAAATCCTGAGTATACAGCACAAAACATTTCTTTTCTCCATTTGAAACACAGTACTCAAATCAAAAGCATGAAGAATACTCAACAGTCATTTCCGAGGACGGGGCAGTTAATGCCTCTGGGGATTGGATTTCTCTCCTCTCATTCAACCTGAAGTCCATTCAAAGAATTGCAATATTTTCTACCAGTGGACTCCTGATGGGTCGTTAGAGGCGCGTGACATAACCTACACAGAGCCTGAGCAATCATAGATTATTATATTAGCTTTTTCTGCAACAGTACATGCTTTGCAGTATTCGTAATTACCGGATTACAACATAAATGTAAAGAATTTGATCAACTAATTACTGTTCAACCAAATTGAATGTGATGCCAACACAAGTAGAATATAAAAGAAGTGGACGACAAAGCAACCCTTTGTAATATGATCAGACATATTAGCACCTGCATGATATGTCATTAATAGATACTTCATCTGCAACATTTTGATGATTGATTAACCAATCAGTTGTATATTAATATATTTTTTGAAAGGTTGGAAGAACAATAAAAAGTTTAAGAATAAAAAGCTCTTTTAAGACATGAAAACACAATTTTTCCCGTTTTTCTAATATTTTATAGACCTAATTATTCAATTAACCAAGAAAAGAAGCAGTAGCTTAATCAATAATAAAAATAAAAAGTTCCTCTATTATATTAGACTAGGATACGATTCAGTTGAATAGCACACCTTGGGGTCAGAAATAAAAGAGCTGCATGAGGATGTACAGGGGATTGCTGCTTGTGTCCACCCCTACATACGTCTACCAATACTCATGAACCGTATAATGTCACATAATCCTCCAGATGTGGCTCAGACAGGAGCACTGATATTCATGTCTACCGTGCAGAAGCGCTTTAGGTCCGGCTGTATATTAACACAATCTGTTTCAAGAGTTTTCTTTCTTTAGCTTTGAGCAGGACTGGATAAAAGTGCTAAAAATAGAAAGTCTGTTATATATTGACATTTCAAATCAAATGTTGTGTCAAATGTTTACTTGGTCAAAAAGAAAAAACGTGATACAGATGCACATCTGGAGTAACCCGAGCAATTGGTAAAGCTTTAGATCAAATGGAAATACAGCCTAAATCATATGCATGAGTTTGCTTTAAATGTTTCAAAGGCTGGCTGCACAAACTTAATACAAATGTGTGGAAACTGGCCGGTTAAATCTGTGCCGTTTACAGGTTGAAGCAAAAATACATTGCATTGAATGAAATTATAGGAAGGAATTGTGTTTCTTTTTAAAATGACATAAGGCAACTGTAGCTGGCTCTGAATTTTTTTTTAGCAGAGTACCCTTCAAGTTATGTACATAATCTGAATACTAAACAGCAGAAAGAAGCCGGTCACCTGAATTAATAACGAAATTTATCAAAACATTTTAAATTCAGCCACATTTCTGGACACATTTCTTAACAGCATGAGACACACGCTACCCTTTAGGTTAGTAATATAGTTATCATGAATCATCCTTTAGTGATTTCCAAATTACTTCTCCTGGTTTTTACAACAGTTCATGAGCGTGAAGAGACATTTTGATTATTTATTTTCTTTTTTTATAATGATGCTCCTTTGATAATGACCATCACCATGTAGTCATCCTCTGATTTGGCAAAGGCTTTGGCGGAGGCATCCACAAACTGCTGTGAGAAATCACACGGGGGGAAAGCGTGGAGGACTCCTCCGTGGTCCTTATCACGGACGCCCCCCACCGGGAGGCCGATGATGCCGGCTGCCTCCTTCTGCTTCAGGTAGGACACCAGGTTCTTCAGAGGTCTCTCGGCCGAGCTGTTGGCTTCCTGGATCCCCGCATCTTCACATTTCCCGGGCACGGCCAGAAGGACGGCGTATCCACCGGAGCCGGCGGCTTTGATGCGACGGGAGACTTCATCTACCTTGGGTTGGTCCAGTCGCAGGCGCTGGCTGATCTTCAGCTGGGACGCTTGACCCCCCTTGGAGCCCTTCAACAGCAGACTTGTGGCGACAGCGAGGTCCCCCTCCAGCATGTGCAGGGACGTGGGAAAGCTGCTGTTCTTCAGCAGGAGGACGCCCTGCCACACCTGAATCAACTTTTGTTCTCCGGCAGCTGGCTTAGACTGCTGTTCAGACCTTGAAGACTGAGCGGGGATAAGATGTTCTAAGCGGTTTTCCTTCTTAGCTGGGCTCTTGGATGAGTCCCTTGCTTTGGGTTTTCGGTCCTTGTCAGAGCAAGAGCTGGGCAAAGCCGGGCTAAGTGTTCTTCTTCTCTTGTCTCCAAAGCCCATGTTCTGGCGCTCTCGGACAGGGGAGGTTTTGCCGGAGCGAACCGGGCGTTCGGGGTCACTGAATCGACCGCCATCCCGGCTGCTGCCTCCAGGGCTGCGCTCTAATGAGTTGCCGTGGCGGCGCAGACCGAAGTCCATGTTGTCTGGTGAACGATCCCGTCGACTGCCATCATCCAAATGTCTCCTTTTGCGGCTCGGATCTCTGCCTTGTAAATCCCGCTCTATTGGCCAGGTCTCGTGGGAACGCCGGTCAAGGCGATCCACGGGATCAAAAATGGCTCCTCGCATCCGGTCGTGGACGCCCACGCCCGACCATTCGGCGCTGGTGTACGGGCCCCGGTCCCTGAAGCGAGCGGGGTGTGGAGGCGACCTGTCCCTCCCTCTCACGGAGTCTGCGAGGCGGTGGGCAAAGGGCTCAGGAACAAAGTCATAGTGCGGCAGGGGGAGAGGGAGCTGCACGTACTGCTGGTGCTGGTAGCGGTGCTCTGTGTCCGCAAAATCCACTCTCAGCCGCCTGTCGGGACCCCCAAGAGGAAAGCCCCTCATGTGAGTACACGCAGCCTGAGCAGCATCCAAACTTTCATACTGGATGTAAGCCCACACTTCACCTTTCCTGTAGTCTATAGTCCTGATGGTACCGAAGCGGTCAAACTCCTTCGCTAGTGCAGCCAGCGGAACCCAGGGTCCGAGGCCCCCCACCCACAGTCTCGTCGTGGGTGTGGGTTTACCGTATCCGATTTTAATTGGGTTGTGGCCCACCACTTTCCCCGACATGGCTACTTTGGCACGATGAGCCATGTCCAGATTCTCAAACTTGATGAAACCGTAGGTGTTGCTCTGGCCTCGCACCGCCCGCTTTATGTCCACTTCTGTTATCATCCCAAACCTGTCAAACGCCCTCCTCAGGTCGCTCTCCGTCACGCCGACGTCCAGATTGCCCAGAAACAAAGTCCTGTTCGCCCTGTGGTCATCCTCGGGGGTTATTAGGTCCTCCTCGCGGAACAAGGCACATTCAGGGACGAACGGGGGTCTGTTCCTGGCGTCGTACGCTGAAAAATCTCTGTCTCTCTCCAGATCCCTGACGTGGAGGGGCTGAGAAGGAGGCGCAGGAGGAGGAAGAGGAGGCGGCGGCGGGGGGAGGCGACCCAGAGCCAGCTGCTGTAATCGGTAGTCCCTGTATCCCATACCAGTGGGAGAAAGGGGCCTCTGGGAGTGCGGGTGCCGGTGTCCTGGAGAGAAATTGTCTTTTAGAACGGGCGAGCGGCCCGTGAGCCTGTTGGTGTAAACGGTCTCGATCTTAAGAGGCCGGTCGTACAGCACCAGCTTGCCCCGCGCGTGTTTAGCCGACCGGGCGTCATCCGGCCTCCTGAAGTTCACGTACGCCACCCTGGCGTCGTTTTCTCGACTTATTTTTACACTGACGTCGCCAAACCTCTTAAACTCGTGAAACAATCCGTCCTCGATCTCCTCGTCGTTCAGCTGGTTTCCCAGTTCACTTATTTTCAGAGTCTTGTACTCGTTTTCGGGGTTTGACGGAGGCCGCGGGTCGGACCTCGACGTTTCCGCGTCGATTTCAGCACCTCCGTACGACTTGTTCCCCGAAACAACTCCGTAGTCGTAACCGCCACTAGTCCGAATGGCTGAATTGTGCCCGTCTGAATCCCTCGTGTCTCTCTTCTCACTGTGTAAACTTCTCCGGGACGAAGCCGCGCCGTTGCCGTTGTTGCTACCGACCGTCGACAGGGCTCCGCTCTTCTTGCCGCCCGGGTGACTTCCTCCTCGGTCTCTGCTATCATCTGGCGCCCGAGAGCGTTTCTTCACCGGCGACCGCTCTTTTCCCTTCATCTCCAAAAGCCGATATCCGCAGTCGACACACTTACTTCTTTTAATCGGCTATTTTCACCGAACTAGACCGTAATTGTCTTAACTTCCACGGGTTTTCACTGCACACTCATGCGAGCGACATAACCGCCATGTTAGACTGCTTGGCACTACTGTACAGGAAGTCCCGCCCACGTGCCTGCAGAAGAAGGTGATTGGCTGAACGGGTCTGACCAGGAAGTTGGCTCGCCTATCATATAGGAGGGTGCGGCACGGCTGTGGGGTCAGTGTGAAGTCCTAAAGGCAGGGTTTAATCATTCAAATGTAAAAGTATGTGTACAGGCTGCATTGTGACCTTGACGTGAGGACACTAAGCCAGGAACACAGAGTTAATTTGCATTGGCAGAGGGGTGGGGAGGTAGACAACTAGGATATATCAAGCTGTATTGATTTCTTATACAGGGTACAGCGGGCCAGGGCCTTGTCAAGGACCAGTTGTGAAAAAGTACATAACAATAATAGACTCAGTAGCACAGACATATAGGGTCTGTACTGGATAGACAAAGATGCATGCATGATACAAAAGTGCTGGGACATTCTTGATCTTTACATCTAGTTTATGAAAGCAGGCAGTATACCACTCTTAATATACATTCAAGGCCCTCATCTGCAGTAATTATCCACAACACTGTATCATCGGTGCCAGTGGCAGTATGAATGCTGTGTATCTTTAGTTACTCTAATATTGATTGAAACTGCAGATTGTGTGTGTGTGTGTGTGTGTGTGTTGATGTTTTTAGGGCAATCTGCTCAATACTAAACAAATGAGTTTTTACCAGATTTCCACCAGTAGGGGGCAGATAAGCCCCCCTAAAACCACAAATCAGCAGCAGCTTGGAACAGAAACTGTCTTGTCTGACAACAGCATTTGCATCCTAATTGTTGACTGCAGTGGCTGCAAGGTTGTGGAGTTGGAAAGGACTTTTACAGGATCTCTCGCCGCCCTGCTAGTGCACGAGGACACACTTCATGACGGAAAACAAAAACACACTCATCAAATGGATGCAATACAGTGGTGCGCTTTACTTTGCAGCAACAATTCCCATATTAGATAATAATGACGTCCATTTGATTAGTTTAACGATATCTGTACGAAGACAGTCCCTTCAAGCATCAATTCAAGAATGTAGATAATTAACTACACAAAGTCTCCCAGTTTCACATGATGCCGTTCCCCTCGGATCATTTTGAACTAAATGTCTTTAAGAAGCAACTTTGAGTTCATCTCCTTTTCAATTAACCTTTTTGCTCGTATTTTTGAACAGTAATTACACAAGCGCTATTGCAGCCGAGGCCATAATTCATGCTAAACCGACTTGTGTTGTGGGGTATTTTTGTATGTGTGGGCACTTTTATTAATAATGATAGTACAGAAATAAAATGCTGAATGTAGGGCGCTCTCACGCGCAGGATTACAGTCTGCGTGACAGCAGGGGTAGAGATGATCGTCCAATTTAACTGTGTCGCTTTATGGACAGAAAAACAGACAATTTAATAACGTCTGGGACATGTACACACACCAGATCATAACTAATATTTTTTTTCCACTAAATTCGCACAGCTTTATGAAGCCTCGTGAGATTCTTATCAACTGTGAAAAAGAATCTAGAAGAATCCTCATGAATACATGAAATATTATACAAAATTAATTTCAATTCAATCACATTTACAAATCAAAACGTATTATTGATGAAAAATAACCTCTTAATTTTCAACAAAAAGGACTTAATCTCCCTTCTGACTGTGCAAATTATATAAATTATTTGTTCTCAATTACTTTTATCTGGATCCCTTTTTTGTTTCACTGACTCTATGGATACTTTAAAAGAATTATGTAGTCCGAAATAATATGTGAACAGACGCTTTGCCCTCGACCCCGTGAACTGGACTGGCCCCTCTTTGAGCGACCATCTGGTGAGGTTCCTCTGCAGACCGTCACATGTCCACGCACGGGCCCAGCAGGGCAATCTGCCAACCAGTATTAAAATGGCTTTAAGTGTGTTTAAAAAAGATTGTACTAGCGGGGAAATTTATTCCTGCTTAAAATCTCTCCTGAATATCCAGGTCAGTTGATTTGTCCTTAACCGAAGCATTTATCCATCATCGTGTCAACAAAAGAGTACTTACATATTCAATGTTGGCAAACATGTTGGGACTTCAGTTGCCGTTGCTTGTTCACAACATTAGATAACAAACGGGAAACGTTATGTAATGTTTTCAGAGACTGCAGCAATAAACTGAAATTGGAAACCTTGAATATACTTGAATAACAGGCGACCATCAAATATAGATGATATAGAAAGGGATGGATTACGAGTGGAACTCTGCAAAGGATTAAAACTGAAAATACAGCTTTTAATGAGTTTCTATTTTTGTGCATTGTATTAATGTGAACGACATGGTCCGACCCACTGCACCCTGTCTATCATGTCAGACTGATGCTTTGTAAGAGATCTGTTTCTGTATTTCTGCCCACCAAAGGGTGATCGATCCTTCACTTGTTTAATCAGGACGGGTACACAATCCTTGATTAACTCCTTCTCATGTGTGTCACATCATTTTACAGTCTCACGGCACGCAGATGATTCCTAATTCTTATTCTTACAGATGATGCAGATGATTCTTATTCTCATTCATCTGTTAATGTACTTGTTATATCTTCATTTCATGACAATACTGACGATACAGAAGACCAGTTTCTGATTACATCTTGAGTAAATAAACACACCATCCTGGAGTGTTTCCATATGGTAGAACACTGCAGCGTGTTTCTCTCACAGCCCGAAATGACCCAGATTGCCACTGTCTGAACACCTTCACAACCAGCATGTCCCTGTGCACTGATGCATTGTGGGAAAGACCTGGTCAGCATAAAACCAAGACTGCTAATTGTTTTTTCACAGTAACACCAAATAATGTATAACTTAAATAGCTGCATATTAATTTCCCCATCAGAAGAAAAGATGAACAATATAAGAGTTCTTGTTTTGGTCTTTCCTCAAAACAATATGTATTCACAGGGTTTGCTTGATGCTGAGAAGGTATTATTGTGAGTGAACGGGCGTCAGTGAGTTATCAGTGTATTGAGCACACTGGCTAAAGAGAGAAAACTCCTTTCGCATCCATTAAAAGTGTTTAGTGTACTTGCTTTCAGCAGAATCTGCCGTGCCGATGTAATACGGTTGTCCAAGTGCTTGTACTTAGAATAATGGAAGAGATAAGCGATACCACGAAGCCCAGTACAGAGTGGATCTTTTTATAGGAACCGAGAGTGACCCAGACATCATGAAACACAGGGGAGAGACAGCAGGGAGGGAGGGAAGATGGTGGGAGGGCGTGGGGTGGGGAGGGCGGAATATAAATGAGGTCGGAGTGTAGGAAAAGTACTGGGCGGATGTGGTGCTGCAGATGCAGAATGCATGAGCACGCGTGAGTGAAAGGGGGGGGTGGAACAAGAAACCGAGTGCTGCAAAGGGACAATGTGAAGGTAGACGACTGAAGGTGAGAGCAGAGAGGAGTGGGAATGTGCTCAAGGCTGCTGACGTCAGACAGCAAGGACCATGAGATAACACCAAAATCATGGAACATATTTGGAGTAAAGATTACAGAGAACTTCTTTATAATGATGTTAGGACACTCTCAAGTGAAAAGGACTGTGACTGAGAAAAAGGATGCTGATGATAAGAATGAATATAAAAATCTAAACAGGAAGGAATAGCTGCATCATTCAGCATAGAAAGCTTGAAAACAAGAAATGTTAAAGACTTTGAAATCAACTCTGACAGGAAACACAGTCACACGCTTTCCTGCTGTTTAGTTCACGTATGTATGCTGAGGTTATTGGTCATAATAGCAGCCTTAAGGATAGAAATGTTTGTCGATTATGCCTCAAGTTGCATCTTAAATGAAATGTTTCTACAACTACTTGATAGGTTGCCATTATTTGAAATAATCTCATCAGCTGTAGCTGTACTTTGTTAGCAAAAGCTATTATTAATACCCTAAACTAAAAAATAACCAAGAGAATATTGTTTGTGAGTAAAAGGACACAAGGTAAATGAAAAGCGGGCTGCTGTTCCTACAACCCTAATGGGACTGTTGGGTCATTTGCTAACAACTGAGGGCACGAAGCGCTGCAGTGCCGACAGTCCCAAAGGCCTGCTGGGCGCCTGATGCAGGCTTAAACCACCCAAAAATACTACACCAATGTCCACTTAGCAGAGGCCCTGCAGCAGTTGAGCCTGAACTGCAGCGATCAAGAGAACCTTAGTACTATAGTTTTTGTGAAAGAAACTTATGTTATTCTACCACTATTGTGATCACAGATCTTGAACTGCGTTGATCAGACTTTATCGTTACGTTAGATGTGCTCCACTCTTGGAAGAGACGAGGTGACAAAAAGGTTGTGAAAGAAAAAGTGATGTGAGAAAACTGATGATCGTCGTTAACCCCTTTTAAACTTTAAGGAAAGTAGAGCTGAGGAAAAAGAGTAAAAACAGTGGGAGGAAAGTTATCTGTATAGTCCAACTACTTAAAGTATTTGGACTTAAGAAATATTAAAATTCTTCTGTCTCCTACAGGATCCAACAGAAACAAGTCCAGATGTGTGAATGTTTGAAATATATTTATTTGTTCCTGAATATAAAATAAAGCATCTTTAAAGAGGGGAAGATTGCAGAGATGAGATAAAGTCTGTCATATGATCCTGAGGTTGCTGTGGCAACTGCTTCCAGCAGTCAGCTCAAAGAAGGTGCGTCAAAAGCATCCGACCAAGTACTGAAAAGAGATCAGATCCTGAAAATGAATTGGTGGCTACACAATGGAAAATAAAACTAGTTTAAACCATATTCTACTGCAAGACATTGATAAAGAGAGGATAAGATATATATGATATGAAGTCAGTTCTATCTGCATGAATGCTTATCAATTTGACAGGAGTTTGTTTCACAAAGTCTAAGGCCTCTTGATTACTCATGTTCACTCTTCAATTTTCTGTATCATCAACCTAGACCAATGTCCTTAACGGATACATACATTTGATATGATACAGAAATGTCAAGAATCACGTGGGAGCAAACACATTTGAGGGAAGACTTATTGGAACGGACAAGAAAATGAAACTATAAGGTCAGGCTGAAAAATGGCTCCTCTGCAATATCTTCCTCCCCAATCTCGGGGCGTTGAAGAACATTGTGGCGGGCAGTGCATGATTTATGGTCCTCTGGGTGTCGGTGTCGGCTGCAGGCGTGTCGCATGTCCGATGTCTAATAGAGGAGCGACCACCTATTGAAAGTGCAAAGTGTGATCAGGGAGATAAAGCTGTAAATCACACATTCATTTGAGTAGAATGACTCACTTAGAGAGTGGATATCTGTCCCCCAAAAAGTACAATGTTGAGGTACTTGCACAACCTGAGTATATCAATGTTCTTCTTTGGTTTTCTACTCCACCGCATTTACTCTCTCCACACATATATATGCACTTTTACAAAGTCAATTGTGGATGGATACCATCATTACTTGTGATTAACACTAATTATAACAATAATTAGAGTCTAAATCCTTAATTTACAGTAAGGCTGAAAGGATCTAGACGATATTCAGAGGATCAATATAGCGGCAAATAACTATTTGCAAAGTAAAGACATACAAAAGTAATCTGCCCGAGCAGAGAATGCAGTCTACACCCTCTGTTTGTTTTGCAATTAAAGCTACTGTGCGTTGCACTGCGCTAGTGGTACCATCAAACCCTTGTACCCCCCCTCAGGTAAACACTGTTAGCTTTGTTTTATATGGACGTATTTACTGTTTGCACCGTTAGCTGCAAGCCGTCGCCCTGTTGAGAGATGATGAGAATAGGTCGTCCTGCTAAAGTGATGCTCAGCAAGCTCATCACATCGAATCATGATGACACAGTAATTCCTGCTGATACTATCGTGATAGTGTTGAATGGCTTGAATTTTTTATCAATTGACCAGAGAAAGCTGCGTCAGACCATCCCTTCCGTGTGGATAACCTTGACAAACCTCTCTCTCTCTCTCTCTCTCTCTCTCTCTCTCTCTCTCTCTCTCTCTCTCTCTCTCTCTCTCTCTCGCTCTCTCTCTCTCTCTCTCTCTCTCTCTCTCTCTCTCTCTCTCTCTCTCTCTACCTTTCCCGATGCCTTGTTGGGCGCAAGTGTCAAACAACAAGTGGGTAACAATAAGATCACGCATCGTTGTTGGTGATCGGCGCTTCGTGCGTCACGGTGCGTCTCTCCGGCGTGCGTGTGGATTGTGGGCAGAGAGCACGTGATCGTCCTCCAGTGGTCCTGAAAGCGCTCAGCAGCTCACACCAGACACACACACACACACACACACACACACACACACACACACACACACACACACCAGTGCAGCCCGCCGAAGGATTTGCGTGTTTCTCCACTCACTGTCTGCCTTCACAATAAACCCTGGATATTGTTGATCGCCGCTAAAGACTTAAGGTGAGAATTAATTTATTCCCAACATGCCTCCGCCGTGCATCTCTCTCTCTCTTCTTTGCTTTATCACTTGCGTTGAAATAAAGAAAGTTCCCAGTTCAATTGCCGTGTTTCACGTCTTGAACGCAGATTTGTTTAGTGACAGGTGAAGTTTGTGCAGCCTTCATTTGCATCGTGCTGGAGATGTGCTGTTGACACAGAGGTCACTGGATGTTGTCTCTGACCTTGATTGCGCGTGTTTAAAAGTCGTTGCATCACTCGGGATGAGTAGGGGAAAATCCGAGAGGAAGACGATGGACTATAAGCATCAGCTTGGTGGTCAGTGCTGTGAGTCCATTCTGCAACCGGAAACCTTCTCAACTGCATTTTTATTGCTCAAAGGTTTTGATTAAAACGTAATCTCGTTAGATTTGCACTGGTTAATGTAATGTATTTCTTAAAGCTGTGAGACATGTATGAGCTGCCTGTTAAAGGCTTTAGATGTTTAGTACAGCAGATCAAAATCTTGTAGAAGAGGCTGGTAATCAATCAATTATCGGTTATTGAACACCTGTACGTTTAAACAGGACCGATTACTGAGGCTGACAGCTGCAGGATGTTTTTCATCTTGGTAGTTTTGTTTTATATGGACGTATTTAAACATCATAACCTCTTCAAATATAACTGAAAACTGTCATGAGTTTGGGGTTTTGTTCTGTTATTTGGGCAAAACAAACCAAAAGACATTTGGCAGCAGAAATTGTTATTTTATGAATTGACACAATAATCTGCAGATCACTTGACAACTCAAATAGTTCATACTGTGGTCTGGATACATCTATTGTTAGAGTGTCGTCACATTGGACATGGACATGGACTCTACACTGCACCTTCTGGTGTTGATTTAGTCAGAATTATCACAACTCAAAGTCATCAGGCACCTTTTTGTGCTGGTTATGTATTTATGGGGAATATAATTACTCCGTTTTTAACTCTGTATTGGAACTTATTTTGACACCGGAGACCGATGACATTGCAAGCACACTGCCATGAAGAAATATGACTCGACATTGATACTGGATGATTCGACACACTCAGGCTCTTGGTATCTGCTGTGTTCCTGTAAGCTGTGTGTTGGTGGTTTTTCCAGGAGGATTATTCATCTGTGTTTTCATATTTCAACGTTGGCTGGATGCCGGAGGCTCTGATTAATATTACGTGTCTTGTATGCTCCAGGATGAGGTTGAATGACAAGGCAGAGAAGCGGTGCCGGGGGCTTTACAGTTAATGCACACCGGATTATGAACTTGTGAATGAACATGGATTATTGCATCACAGGCTCTGGCTTGACATGCACAGATCAGGAAATCTGTTGTGGGACGAAGAAAATGCGTAAACAAGGAAACAAAATGTGCATTCCGAGCATGAATTAAGAAACTTCCGTTGTGTTTGTGTCATTGTTGTTACCTCAAGCAGCTCTTAGAGTTTGTGTGGAGATTACGTTCCTTCTGGAGAATATGCTGGTGGTGACAGTTTGTTTTAGGCTGATGTTGTGACGACGAAGGCCCGGGTGCGTCACACTCGAGGTGATTCAGCATCTTCATTTAGCTCTCGTTTCCTCAGTCTTACAGGACTCAGATCATTTGAGCAGACAAAAAAATTGTGACTCTTTTGTTTTGTTGAACTCTTCTTCATGTGAAACAACGTTCAAACAATGTGAGTTTTGCAGTTCTGCATGGCAGTGCATGGCAGCTTTTCATAATGCAAAAATAACTGACTCAATAAGTAATGAGCTCGCACAGAGGCTCGGGATGTGGACCAAGAGACCACATGACGGCACCTGAGCGTCATGTTCACTTCCTCGTTTGGGTTGAACCAACCGCTCGCGGACGGAGGGGTGACACTGGATGTTGCAGCGAGGCTTCAGAGGATTAGGAGAATTACAGGGGGGAAAAGCACTCAAGTTAAGCTTTGCAGAACAGGAAAATTAAATAGAACACTTTGCAGGATTGCTTATTTTTTTAAACCAAAAACATTTTGGTAAATAGTTGTGGCGGAAAGTAGCACATAAGTTGAAACACAGGTGCGACGAATGGTCTCTTGTCCTCATGTTGACACCTTTCACGGCTCTGGAGAGGCATAACCATGTGTCTCATTATGAGCCTAACCAAGCTCTAAATGGAGGAATAATTGTGTCAGCGACTAAGTGAGGTGTTATTTAAGGATCACAGCCAGGAAAAGGAAGCTTAAATTACGGTACATTAAATGAGCCTTGACAAGGGGGCTCAAACCTAGCGGCCTTTTATTTGGATTGGATGCTATTTATGTGATTTTCCTGTCCAATAATAGAAGATTATTGGGTTTTATTTATTCATGAGGCCTTGAAACACAATTTTCTATTTGACCTTCCTGTCTTTCTAACGCAGGACTGAGGCCCAGAGCAGATATCCAGCAGTTACTGCTCAGCATCTGCCGTACAGCTTCATCCATCCACCTCTTCTCCACTCTCTGTATCGCCTCCTTTTTGGCTCCGACAGACTTCCTCTCACTACCCCCCCCCGTCCCCCTCCCGACCCTCGGCCTCCCCGATGCCTAAGAACAGCAAGGTGACGCAGCGCGAGCAGAGCCAGGAGCACGTCACAGAGTCTGTGGCCGATCTGCTCGCACATGAGGAGACGCTCGACTACAAGAACAGCTCCCTGAACGTCGGAGGGGTCGCCGGGAAAAAGGTCCCACAGATAGAGGTGCCAGAAGACGATGGACGCCCCGCTTGGAACAGCAAGCTGCAGTACATCCTGGCTCAGGTGGGCTTCTCCGTGGGCCTGGGGAATGTATGGCGCTTCCCTTACCTGTGCCAGAAGAACGGAGGAGGTAAGTTGCAGGGATGCACAAGTATCATCACATGTACTGAAGATCATACTTTACGGCTTGCATTTCCTTTTTTAGAGTTTTATGTTATCAGTAAATTCCTCTTAACCCAAAGTCCTCAGTGAGAGTATTTGTTTGCCAATAGTGTCTCCACCCAGGGACAGTGACAATCGGCATATAGACGGCTCTATTTTTCAATTCGGTATCCCAATACCTAAAAAATAGAAAAACAAATAAAGGTTTTGTTGATTTGTCCTAAACTTAATGACTAAACCCCTGAAAAACTAAGAACGTTCCCACCAGCCTCAGCTCTATGTTTAGTCTAGCAGATAAATGTCAGAACGCTAAACTAAGATTCTCAGAATGTTGAACAGCTCACTCGCTGTAGATAGATAGATAGATAGATAGATAGATAGATAGATAGATAGATAGATAGATAGATAGATAGATAGATCAGTTGTGTTATGATCAACCTCACAAACTACATAGAGCTTCTAACGTCTAAATATAGATGCACTACTATTGATTACTACTGCCGACAGGGCAGGCCGGCCTCCACTGATACTCTGGTAAACAGAGAAGGGCTCGATTAAAAATATGTAACTGTATAGTGATGCGAGTTTATTTCTGTGCAGGGCTGCATGTAACTGGAGTTGTGCACAGTGTAAACCTGCGTTCACTATTGGTGGAAAAAGCTCTTGTCATCATTTGTGCTTTTCACGTGGTTCCAGGTTCTTTAAAGTTTTTGTGTTTGCTGCATGTGTTTGATTTACTGCTTATAAGGAGGAGGTATTGCTTAAAGGGAGGATTTACTGACAGTAATTACCAGACCGGTCAGGTTAAGCGGCCTCAAGAGCGGCCATTTTTCACTCTGTAATTGTGTGTCTAGCAGCCAATTGCAGACACATTAAAGGTCTGTGTTGTTTGGGAGTTATTGCCGTGTGGCTTCTCTCTCGTCGATGGTACCTCCTCTTGTCTTTTTCTTCTCCCATCAACATCTTCAATCATTTCTCCCTCCATTGTCACATCTTTATGCTCGCTTCGCTGCCAAGTATATCGTCATATAATCTGTAATGGAGCGGATTTAAAAGACCTGGCAAAAGCCCAAAACCTCTCACTATATTTAACCTCCCTTTTATTTCAGCCTTCTTGATTTAGCCCTTTGCTTCCTCTCATCTCTTCCTGCCTCATTACTCCACCCACTGTTGAGTGTGTGTGCTGCTGTATGTAATTCCAGATTTGTATGTATTATTAGTATTATGTGTTTGCCTGCTGCAACGTCCCAGATGACGAATCACCGTTCACATTGAACAGAGTTGCATCCAGATTATGGTGCTGTGGATTAAGCTGCGAGAGAGACAAATTTAGACTTGCACCCGAATTAGAATAAACCTTATGTTTGAAAGGAGCAGGGTGTGGGAGGGAGATTCTGTCATCATTTTAGAGAATGACCGTTCTTATTGAACATTTTGGTCCTGAGATGCAAATGAGAGAGACTAGTCTGATAATATGAGTACACCACAGCTGCTCCCTCAATTCTTTAACTATGAACATGCAAGAGCTGATAAAAAGAAATTCTACAGCAATATGGTATGCTGTCAAATGTCAAGCCATCTCATAAAGTATAGGATATTCAAAGAATTTTTTTTTATCTGTTTGGAAAAGTCCACTCTTACATAATCCTGAAAATCTAAATCTTTAATTTCCACATCAAACCTAAATGTCAATGTTAATTAATTAGTTTTCTATTGTTCATTAAATGTATATATATATATATATATACATTTATATATATATATATATATATATATATATATATATATATATATATATATATATATATATATATATATATATATATTGGTCTACTTCCCTCGGTCTCTGTCCGAGATGTGTGTCTCCATTTTTGTTTTGTGCAAATTGACTCACTTACATGCAATGGGCCTCCGTGTCTTCCAGGTGCCTACCTCGTTCCCTATTCCATCCTCCTCCTCCTCATCGGCATCCCGCTCTTCTTCCTGGAGCTGGCTGTGGGTCAGAAGATCCGGCGTGGGAGCATCGGCGTCTGGAACTACGTCTGTCCCAGTCTTGGCGGTATCGGGGTGTCCAGTCTGATGGTGAGGAGGGGACAAACGTAATTTGATCTGTGATTTACACAACGTATTATTTGTGTCTCTTCTGCATGTTTGTAGCGTGTAACGTGAGCTAATATGGCGAAGCAGGATAAAGTTTTAGGAACATCTGCCGTCACCACAACAACCTTCACACTGCCTCGGGCTTTCTCGGGTTTATGGGGGGAAGTGACGCACTTGAGAATGAAAGGTAGCCTTTCGAGTTGCACGGCTGACGCAGAAGTAGCTATAAATATCTGGTGGAAGATCAGTGTTGAAAAGAGGGCACTTTAATTATTCATGCTTTCTCAGCCTTATTTTCACGTGTGAATGTGCTGGCTGCACAAGACCGCTCTGGAGAGTGACAGCAGCATGCTGGCTCATTTGCACATTTATCTCATGCTGTATTGTACAGTTTAGTGGAAGCATGACAATTGAAACATTATACTGCAAAGGTATATGGTTTAATGTATGTGATGTTTTTATCTGTTTGTCGTTCTGTCCGTCTATCCAGGTGTGTGGCTTTGTGGGCCTCTACTATAACGTCATCATCGGATGGAGCATCTTCTATTTCTTCCAGTCCTTCCAGTATCCTCTTCCCTGGAGCGAATGTCCAATCCGGAGGAACGGGACACTTGCCAGTGAGTGACGCGATGCTCGATCTTGCGGTCTTTATTCCGTTTCTATCACGCGGTCAGACCGTTTTAACGGCACCCTCAGAAGTGTACTCTTAAACTGAGGGTCCACCGTTGACGGCCGCGCACTGACTCATCAGTGTCTTGCGTCAGAGGTGATCACGGATCTACAAAGGACACGGTGAGCAGGTCCTCAGCCTTCAAGGACGTTTTCCTCACGTCTGTTTAACCCCTGCTCTTTATCCCCAACAGGCTCCCGTTATCTTGTCCCTAACTTACAGAGTCATGTAAGCTCCTGCCTAGAGGTCCCGGTGATGGAAGGGGGAGAGGAGTGGACATCATTAGAATTTCTAATTTAGGGATCCGGGAACCATTAAAACAAAATATCCTGGCAATCTATCCAGTAGTTGTTGAGATATTTCAGTCGCGTCGATAAGGAATCAACCAAAAGTTCAGGAAATTAAATCAGTGTTACTGCCCAGCATGTTCGCGACATACAGAAAAGGTCTTTCTGGTCATTGTTGTATCTATATCTATTAAAGTAACTGCATGGTTCTTCTCATAATTGTTCCTCAATGGGCGTCCATCCTACACGCTTTAGGGTTATATTTGCAGCATCAACCCTGAGACAAACCTGCAGTAAACAGATCAGACTAATTGTGTTAACTTCCTTAAAACTTGATGTGACCACTTCACAGACCTAATCCAGATCAAAACCCTCCGGACCTCATTTGATTAGAGGGGATAACAACATAAACCCAGCTGAGATATTGTGACTCAGCAAGGCTGAGGCTGCTCGAGATTCAGAGTGTGAAACCTTTCACTGTACGTGTGCTTTCCTGTGACGCGCACAGCATCCTGATGGAACATGCCAGTAATTAATTTAGCAGAGGAAATAGATTTCAACAGATGGAGTTTATCATACACATAAAAAGAGCTTTCCCAGAACCTGTTTATATGGGTTTTGTGCATGAATCTGCAACACCCTGCAGTATTGTGTGGAGAAACTCACACACAATATAAAGAATACTATGTTTTCCTCTGATGTAAGAATGTACTGTGTGAACCGTGAAAGAATCTCAGGTGTAAGAATTGTAAGTTCAGGCTTTGCACACTAAGCACACTGGTGACCTTGTTTAGCTCCGTTCACGTTTGAGAAGTGTAAACCAGCCGGGAATTGAGATATCGACTCGAGCAAACACTTTCTCGCTCTGCCCTCCCCCAGAAATCCAAACCTCTTCACACCCCTTCTCTATTCCTTCATACTCATTAACACCCAAACTAAAGCGCCCCTCCCTCTGTTTGCAAAAAATACAGTCGTGGAGCCGGAGTGTGACAAAAGCTCGGCCACCACCTACTTCTGGTACCGTCAGACTCTGAACATCACCAGCACCATCGCAGAGAGCGGCGGTCTCAACGTGAAAATGACCATGTCTCTGCTGGTGGCCTGGATCATTGTCTGCCTCGCTGTCATCAGAGGGATCGCCTCCTCTGGCAAGGTAGTAGAGAAGATAAGGCAGAGGTGTATGGTGTGAGGACAGGAAAACATGAAGGAGGTCCCCGGATTGCCTGACCTGAGCGTATGTTTCTGTTTTCCTCCTTCTCAGGTGATGTACTTTAGCTCGCTTTTCCCCTACGTGGTGCTCTTCTGCTTCCTGGTGCGAGGTTTGATGCTGAAGGGCTCAGTGGACGGTATCGCCCACATGTTCACTCCCAAGGTGAGACCTTCTTCCTCGCAGCATTTTTAATTACGAAAGGCTCAACAATGTCTCCATCTCTTTCGATGTCTCGCAGTTGGAGAAGATGCTGGAGCCTCAGGTGTGGAGGGAAGCGGCCACCCAGGTCTTCTTCGCCCTTGGTCTGGGGTTCGGAGGAGTCATAGCCTTCTCCAGCTACAATAAGATCGATAACAACTGTCATTTTGATGCAGTGCTCGTCTCTTTCATCAACTTCCTCACTTCCATTCTGGCCACGCTGGTGGTGTTTGCCGTGCTGGGCTTCAAGGCCAACATCATGAATGAAAAGTGTGTCGTGGAGTAAGTTTCGACACCTGCAAAAGCTATTCATCCATAAGCCCCATCGTGCAATAATGTGTACATAACATCATGTCATTGTCTATCAACGCAGGCTTTATATTCTGAACTTAGACCTCTGTAAGTAGTGGGACTTATCATTCATACACTGTTTTTACCCAACTCCGCCCTTTGCTTTGTGTCTTAAGTTCTGGATCTCCATCACTATTGTCATGTTTTCATTGTAAAGCACTTGTTGCAAGAGGTCCAAATTCTCCCTGAAAATAAGTTTACTTATCCAATACGCCGCGATCAACCTGGGGTCTTCGCATTGCATTTCTTTTAACACACTTGTTGACTTCATTTTTTAAAAGATGCAATGTAAATAAAGGTATTGTATGCAGTCCAGCCCTTACCTGTACATGATACGTATTTGTTTAACTTTGCTTGATATCAATGGATTTTATTTCTACTGTCGCCGTAGGAATGCAGAGAAGATCCTGGGATACCTCAACTCTAACGTCCTGAGCCACGATCTCATCCCCCCACACGTAAACTTCTCCCACCTCTCCACATCAGACTACGCCGAGATGTACGGCGTCATCAAGACGGTGAAGGAGGGCGGCTTCGCCCAGCTCGGTCTGGAGCCTTGTCTCCTGGAGGATGAGCTCAACAAGGCAGGTCTTCGCCGCTGCCTCGCTTGAGCAGCGTGTTCTCTGTTTCAACCCTTTTTTCCACTCGTCAGACTTTTACTCGATTTCAGTCCTCTGAATGTCTCCCTGCAGTCTGTTCAGGGCACCGGCCTGGCCTTCATCGCCTTCACAGAGGCCATGACCCATTTCCCGGCGTCTCCGTTCTGGTCGGTAATGTTCTTCTTCATGCTCATCAACCTCGGTCTGGGCAGCATGATCGGCACCATGACCGGCATCACCACACCCGTCCTCGACGCCTATAAGGTCCAGAAAGAGCTTTTCACAGGTAGACCCGCCCCACTCACAGGGCACTGTGCTGTTAGTGTTCCAATCTCTTTACTCAGCACAGCATCTAGAATAAGGCCCCATGAGGCTCAGTATTATTCCTCCGAGTGTACTGCAGTGCTAATTCTTTGTCTCTTGTGGGGGGTTTTCAGTGTGTTGCTGCATAGTGGCTTTCTTCCTCGGCCTGTTGTTTGTTCAACGCTCAGGGAATTACTTTGTCACAATGTTTGATGATTACTCCGCCGGACTGCCTCTGACAGTGGTGGTCATCCTGGAGAATGTGTCTGTGGCTTGGATTTATGGCACGAAAAGGTACACGTGGTTTGTGTGTCTGTTTCTGAAATTCATCACTCTCAAAAAAGAAGTAAAACTGGAGCTTACGAGTGTTTAATCAGCATAGAATCGCACACAGGGACCTTTTCATTACTGTCATGTTTTTGCTGTTCTTTTCTCTGTCAGATTCATGCAGGATCTGGAGGACATGTTGGGTTTTCGACCATGTATAATTTATTTCTACCTGTGGAAGTACGTCTCCCCTCTGTGTCTCATTGTGCTCATCTCAGCCACTGTCATAGAGATGGCCATCAGTCCCCCGGGATACAATGCCTGGGTCCAAGAGCTGGTTAGTCTGTTTGTGTATATGTGTGTGTGTGTGTGTGTGTGTGTGTGTTTATTTTCAGATAATCTGATGATGGCGAGAAGAACTAAATCTTTGGATTATGAGAAACGCTCTGTGTGTGTGTGTGTGTGTGTGTGTGTGTGTGTGTGTGTGTGTGTGTGTGTGTGTGTCTGCAGGCCCAGGAACGCTTTGAGAGCTACCCCCCCTGGGCACTGGCCATGTGCTTCGCTCTCGTCATCGTGGCCATGCTTCCTCTTCCTGTCGTCTACATCGCCCGCCACTTCAACCTGATGTCCGACGGCTCCAACAAGCTGTCTGTCTCTTACCGTAAGACCATGATGAAGGACATATCCAACCTGGAGGAGCAGGACGAGTCCAGATTCATCCTCGGTGCCAAGCCAGGCGAGGCACCATCATCGGCTGCAGCCCGCGGGGGCTTCCTGACTCCAGGAAGCACCAAAACGCTGGACACCAACTCGCTGTCTCCAAACATCTGCTACGGTACGAGCTACCAGAACGCTGCCATCAGCCCCACCACACCGACCACCCCGGCCACCCCGATCACCCCGATCACCCCGATCACCCCCGCCACACCGGAGTCTGACTCTTGACTGCTTTCTAAACAACCCTCTGACATCACAGTTCCCCATCCAGCCACAAAGTCCCCACCGCGAGTCACTGCAGAGCCCAGAATCCCCACCACTGGCCTCCTGACGCCACATAGCTGTAGGTAGCCGCCCAGTTTATCGGAACACACGCTTCCCAAAATAACACCCGCAAACGCACTGCAGCAGGAGGTAAAAATATCTATTCTATACATAACATGAAAGAGTTTAGGAAGATGAAGTTATGGGGTCTGCTTTTCTTTGCCTTCGTATAAGGATCCTCAGCAGACAGAGCCCTCCGCCCCCCCTCCTCACACACACACACACACACACACACACACACTTACACAGTTTAAAGCACATCCCCGTCGGCACGTCGGATTCAGGGGATCTAAAAGAATGAATGTAGTGGAGCCGGTGTGAAACGGTTTCTTCTCTGCACACTGGGCAACGAGAGCCGAGATGAATGTCGTGAGTTTAATTATTTTATGGATTAAAGTCCTCTGTAGTGGTACGGTGTGTCAAAGCGACACAGTTATTTTCTATGGAGTTTTATGCAGTGGTTTCAGTCGGTACGTACATTGCGTCTACACAAGCATCTTTGTTCTGATGTTTAAGCTAGAAAACACTTTTCTCAGCGTGGATCTGTTTTCAGGGCTCTGTGTATTGTAAACTATTAAGGCTGCGCTAGAGATCCATTTATGTCCCGTTCCCTCTGTGATTTGTGTGTAGACAGTAAACAGTGGTATGCGGTAGAGTAGTGTGATAGAGGATAAAAGTATTTAATTATCCACCACACACACATTATAACATGTGAAAACATGCATTCCAGTCTCTCCACCAAAGGTACGTAGTAGACAACAGCATCTCCAAATTTATTACCCAAAACAGAGAGGATTTGCTGAATTTGTTTGAAAGCAAACCACTTTCAACCGTTGTTTTAAGCACAAAAGACTGAAAAACAAGGCACTTATTACCGTTCAGTGACAGAAAGCACAACTTTTTCATGAGAATTTGAAACAAATGTTGATTCCTAAATAAACAAGAAAATTTGAAATTGTAATATTAAACTCCTTAAATAACATAGGAGGTACTTCTGTAAGCATTGGACAAACAAAATGTACATACATGCACAAACAACACAACAATACGCACAACAAATGCACACAGTTTCTGTGTATGTGTGTAGTGATAGACGTCATTAAGTGTTATTGAAAGAGAGTCTCCATTGTGATGAGGATCGTTCACTCCTGGTTGAACTGACTCATTATTGGACACACTGGTAGCAAATAGTTGTGCAACACGTTCAACATGTTCACACTGAGCACACTCAAGTTACGTGGAAGAGGAGACCTTTATTTATTTTTTTATCACAATATTTAAAGCCATGGCGTTAAGGATTAAATGGACTATATTTATATTCCTGTATATTTGCATTGTAGATGTGATGAACAACAAAGATTTATCTTTTAAAAGTGACCAGTATATATTTTCATCTTCTGTGACGGTTATTATTAAATTGTATATCTAAAGTCCATTTTCTAGTTTGTGTAGCTTCTTCTTTTTGTGCGATGTAAAAATGCTGGGAGGTGATGTGCAACGTTTATGGACACGGGTTGTCTGTTGTCTTCATGAGAGCTGTTTGGTGACCTCCACTCTCACTTGGTCCCATCACTTGTTTGTAGCCACACTAACCTCTACTCCACCTCCGGTGACCACGACTCCACCCAGCAGGTCACACCATCCTCTTGTGCAACACTTTAGTTCATAACAGGATATCTCTCAAAATGTTTGCTGTCTGCCTCAGTCGTTTTGAGAGGAAGGCTAAAGTAGCTTGATACTAAATGTCAGCAGGTTGCTCCGCTGATTGTATGAAAACAGGGAAAGATACAGTAGCTTTACGTGGACAATATTATTAGCATTCTGTTCAGCGTTTTATTAAATAGCCCCATGTTAACAAATTAGTTACTGGCACACATTAAAATGCGAACAAGTTTTTTACTCCAATTTTACTTTCACGCAATTTCAGCAGAAAATAAAAAAATAAAAACTGTTTGCCTTTCATTCATTTCAAAAGCTGAAGCTGTGTCAGTTTTGCTTATTTGGATGGTTCTTTAACAGGCGCCATCAGCCACATAACAGTGTAGCTTTTGAATTAGCTGAATTTAATTAATAATGTGTTCATTTGATTTAGATGCCAATTGTTTTGTTATTTTTTGTCACTATTCCCAATATCCCGGACATTGAATACCTTACTTGAAGAATAACATACATGTTCATTTCAAGCCCACTTGCTTGTTATTATGGTCTTAATGATATGACAGCTGAGTGTAACTTCAGCTGAAGCTGATGAATCAGCGCTTTCAGACTGAAAGATCAGATGGAGCACATTCGGGAAAGTTTATTTGGACGGAACAACAATTGTGTTACGCGTCAGCTTGTTTGTTCTTATTCCTTTTGCGACTGGAGATGGAGTGATACATTCAGGCCCACATGATCACCCACCACGCTCATGTTTTAACTCGATTGTGTGTAATCACACGGCATCCAAAATTCAAAACTCTCCAATCTTTTTCCCCTCCAGAGATGGATTTATTCCTTCATTTTTTTTAATCCAATCAAAAGTTTTGTGTTACTTGTATAAAGAACATCACCGTCTAGTGTGGCTCCAAACGTTATGTGTTGTTTTATCTTGTCTTGTTTAAGTCATTGTGAGCAGGCGCTTCCTGTTGGGAGTGTGTCATGTAGAAATCTCCCTGTTGTTCACGTATGTAAATAATATTGTGTAATCAAGACAGATTAGGTATACCACTGTCTTAAAAAGGTAACTGTTTTAGCAGTGAATGCAATATAAAGTAAAAATGAATGTGATTAATGCACTTTTTTTCACTCGGACTGCAAAATAAGTTTGGGTTTGTTTTGATGTCCTCGTTGTGTAAAAGCAATATCAAGTTATTAAACAATTTAAGATTGACACACTAGTGTCAGATTATAGCAATGATTAGGAGCTGCCCCCTACAGCCAAAGGGATGCCACAACTTTTCCTTAAAAGTGCTGCAGTGTGCGTGTGCGTGTGTGTATAAATATAATAAATGTGTGCGCATGTATGTGTGAGTGTGAACTATATATATGTGTAGATTCCTTTTTCTTTCCTATGGGTGCAGAGCCTTACTGAGCACATGCTTCAAGCACCGTCTGTACAGGAGACACGTTTATAAATGTCTCCATTCTCTCTTTCATCAGTCATATTATGATTGTATCATACTGACGATTATTGTACAAAAAGAAAATTGAACTAAAAATATTAATAAAAAAGAGTGGACAAGCTGCTGTCGGATTTTTTTCAAATTTCAACGGATACTGTTCATCTACCACGTACATTTCCCATGGTTGCTAATGAAAATCAAACATAATGAAATAAATACAGATAATTAGATACCCATGATTCCGTATTAAAAACACATGTAGCTTCTGTGTGTAATAGTTTTAAATATCCTTATTAGGCATTGACGTTGAAATAAAAAAAAGAACACACAGACAAATAATATCTAAATATCAAAACTGCCCTTACTACGAAGCTCACCGGTATAGATCACAGTCCATCTGGTCTCAAATCACAGATCCTGATGCAACATTTCTCTCCGAGCCAGAAGCCCGGATACATCGGCTCTGTGAATTCAGCTTCAACCTTGTAAAGGAAGACCATCCTGTCTGACACCTCGTAGAATGACAGAGTTCCCTCTTTAAAGTTTAGATACACGCCGAGCTTGCTTCGACTAGGCCGCGTTGTGAGCTGGACGCTGTCGGACTTGTGGCTCACGGAGTAGTGGTTCGCGGAGCGATCGAGGCTCCAGGATTGCGCGTTGCCCCCAAAAGCTGACAGTTGGGTGCGAGATTTTCTGTCCATTCCTTTGTACGCCAGGGCGATCTCAGCCTTGTCTCCTTCCACCTCTATCTCGTAGTAGCAGCGCTCGCCCTGCAGCCCCTCCCTGCACAGCACCTGCCGTCGGTGCAGGAACCTCAGCGGGTAACGAACAGAGGGGGTCTTACACTTGAGGGGGTTCAGCCTCACTTCTCTGTCTCCTGCAGAGACGACCAGGTCCTCGTGAGCTGTGGTGGGGTCCAGTCGGAGGCCGCAGGCATCTGAGGCGATGACGACAAACATGTGAATACAAACACGCGGCTGTGGGGAAGAATTATGTTCCCTGTGATTGACGGAAAACATTTATGACATTATTCGATTGTTAAACCTCATGTCTGTCTGCAAGGAACAAGTTATTGTTGCAGATGGTCCAAGTGGAGCTAATTTTAACATCTTTCTTTACAGTTAGTGATTTGCGATTTAAGGATCAACCAGATAAAGAGCGTTTGGACCATTAATGCAAGAAGAAAGAAGAAAATATGTAATATAAACTACAAACACGCTAGTAAAGCACCCACACCTGCTTATTGTACTAATGTACTTGTCCAGCACAACATGTGAGTCGTTACGGTACGTGGACTGAAGTGTTGACTGTTGGTGCAAACAGTAAAACATGGACTCACACTGCAGGAACTCTGCTCTGGTCTGAGGCTCCATGTTGTGGACTCCAGACGGCACTACGAGGCAATTGGAGCATCATTAAGAGTCTGCTGACAGACTTTGCATGTTTTCATTATAACACTCAATGGCTTCATTCAAGTTTTGTCCCAGTGAGCTATGACAGTCTTTTTTAGTTTAGGTGTCCCCGTAAGTTAAACTCCACACCTAAAACTACTAAGAAAATAAACAGGAGCATTTTTTTTAGTTTTTTCTATATTTAAAAACCTTGAAACCTTTACAAAGGGCAGAGCTTCACATGGTGGTAAATATGTTTTAAACCACAGACGAGGCTAACAACCTTCCTCTGAAGCTAAAATAATACACATAATTATTATAGTAATAAGGAAAACACTAATAAGGCTGCTAATACTACTACTAATAATAATAATAATAATAAAGTCCACGGGAAAGTGTGTTATTGGCCTCACATCTTTGCTGCATTTCTTCCTCTTCTGACTCGTGTTCTGATTCCCGCTGCTCTCCACCGCCTGCTATATTAAATAAATTGAAATCCATTAAACATATAACTACCGAACATAGTGAATAACAATTATGTTAAAAGATTTCCAATTCAACTAAGACGCATACCAGTTTGAGAGATTAAGGCAAACTTTATATCAAAAATTCCCTCCAGTTGCTCCCCGAGCTGATCGATGGCTCTCATCGTCACGTCGAAGGGGTGAAGAGGATCTTCTGAGTCCTCGTAAAGGGGATGGCGATGGTCTTCCCTACAGAGGCGCCGCATTGAGGGCCATTCCTGTTAAGAGGGAGAATTAGATCATTGCATCATTACATTATTTCATACAGATTCACGCAAAGTACGAAAGTACCTGCAAGAAGTGAAGATCGCTGTCGGTCCGTGCCAGACGATCCAGCTCAGCATCTCTCTCCCTCATGTCCTCCATCTTCACCTGCAGCGTCTGCAGGGAGTCCTCCACCCGCGCCGCTGCCTCTTCCTCGTGTCCTCCGATCAGCTCCCTCACTGACTTGTAGTGTCTCTGCAGGGAGTCAATGAGGCCGACCAAGACGCTTTCACAATAGTCCCGTGTCTCTTCCGCCGCCTCCTGGTCAATACAGAAGTGTGAGGAGTGGGGAGTCCTGCATCCATCCCGTCAGTACTCTGGGATACAGAGTGCACACAGTATGAAGCAGTCACATGTCCTCACCTGAATCCGTTTGAGAGTCTCGCCCATGTTCTCATATTTTTGTTCTTGTGTCCGGAGAATCTGCTTGGATTCTGTTTGTAGATTCCTCAGCTCCTGCTTCAGTGTGTGTTGGAAAAACACACATTACTTGTTTAGTTTTATGAGCAGTTTTGTCAATATGGTATCATTTTTGTGCGTGTTGAAGGTGCATAATGCTGTTCGGCCACTTTTCTCTATGAAACATTTGATTAATTAACAAAAATGTATTTACCATGAAGATGTAAGTAAATAATAACACGTTTGGACTGAAACAACAATACATCTGATAGGAATAAACCTTTTTTTTAATACATGGCAGATGTATAAAGAATGTAAAGGTGTTTTTGCATCAAGGACAGCGCATTCGAGAGGAGAGAGAGTTTAGCACTTAAATCATAATACACACATTCCTGGGGGAGTTTAAGTCACAACATTCTCTACGCAGAAGCGACTTAGTGGCCCAGACGTCTCCAGAGGCTCCTGAATCGCTGTCTTGACGCTTCCGACTGCCACACGTTGACTGTTTACGCGCGACGCTCAGTTGAGAAATGAACCGTTTGGGACTTCCTGCTTCCGCACGTCGACCGTATTTACTGATGGGATGTGAGTTCAAACGTAATCACACTCGGTCTCCAACTAAAGACAGTTCATAATCTACTGTGACTCAGCCTCTGAAACGCAGAGATCCTCACTAGTCATTTTCTGAAAGTCAAATATCACAAGTCCCAAGTCCCAAAACCAAGTCTCCTTTTCTGTTTAGACACCCAATATTACTGTTGTCAGTTCAGATCATGATAAACTATCACAATCTGACCTTCTGGTCCTGAGTTATTAGGACATAAAATAATGGCATGTCACAGTGAGATTGACCTTTGACATCATAGGCATAAAATGGCATTTTACATGTTTTGAGACAGTGACCTTAGGACGCAAAAATATAACGAGTTCATCCATCGCTTAAATCGCTCCTGAGATGATGCGTTCACGGACAACTCGAAATATACCTTACATAGATTTTTTAAAAACTGTTATGTCACAAATGAAACAAGTCAAAGGAGAGTTGTGTTTCTGTTTGTCACACACACCTGTTTCCGCCTCCGTTCTTCTCTCACATACCCAATCCTGTGTCCTGAGTGCTCGGCCGAGGCGCACTGCGCACATATGACCCGCTGGTCCGTGCAGCAGTAAACGTCCAGAGGCGCGCTGTGCCTCGCGCACACACTGGTCTCTACGTAGTTCGGGGCCTGCATGAACCTCGTCCCCGAGTGTCTGCTCTTGGCATCACGCCTCTCCATGTCCCCGCGGCTCCTGTGAAGAAGTCTTGGTGGGATTCCTCGAGAAGCTCTCCACAGATTTGTCAAATTTGACAACTTTTTTTCGTTTGCAGGGCGATGCGAGAATGAGCCGCGGCCGAGTGGAGAAGAAGGCGGGAATTACTAAGTTTCGTTTCTGCTTCTGTGTTTTTGGTTTGTCAGTCAAGAGCAGATGGGTGGGTGAAACATGTTTTAGGTGTTTACCAGTGGCGGCTGGCCAGTAGGGGGCAATGGGGCGTCGCCCTCTCCTTGAGCCCCACCAAAAGAGATAAGAGAAAAGATAATATTAAAATATACAAAATGTCAATATTTGTCTTTTTGAAATGTACCCAGCAATACCGGCCTGTCATACGCACGTCATGTCTTCAAGCGTGTTAGATAAGAATACACTTCCTGATTACATTTTTTTTTAAATATGTGACATACAGCCAATCAGCTTCCTTAAATGGACTCGGCCGGGGGGAACGTTGGTTTCCGCCCAAACTGTTCTCGTCAAGGCTGGTATCGACAGGCGATGACGTTCTGAATGAAGTAATGAGCACGGATTGTATCGCCTTTCAAGCAGACAAGACGACTGACATATACAGTACATATATCATACTGATTATTATTTGAGATAAGTCATAATTATGAAATAATAAACATTCACATACCTGCAATACTTTTTATATCCAACCATAATACTTCTTTGAACTTCAACCACAATGTGCTCACCGCAATGAAGAGCGATGACCACAAGTTGGCATTGAATGCTCAGTGAGATGTTTTTTACATGTGCTTTGGCTTCCTGATTTAACTTTGCCAATGCACGTTAAAGTAATCTGAAAAATTGCCGTGTCTGTGAGATTATCTAAACACGCATGTCCCAAGTTGTTCACTATTTTCTTTCTTTCAAGTCCATGACATGTTCCACTCAAACGTGACGGATAACAAATTGCCCTCGCTCAGAAATATCGTCACATACTAAAACAATATCGTTCTATTTGTGGCCCTGAAATGACAACATTTTAATTTACAATATTTGTTAATAGAGATCATGTTTGAAACAAGAAACTAATTTCAAGAGACTGAAACAACCCTCGAAACGTTCCCTTTCTGTGTCTACTGCCACGATCCAAAAATATACATATTCTAAAAAGAATTTTTTAAAAAAGGTAAATTGTACACAAATAACAGTATAATTTTATTACAGTCCTTAAGTCCATGTAAAACAAATACGAAGCCATGATAAATACGTTTCACAATTTACATGTATTCTCATTTCATTAACCATTTAAAATAATAAAAGACAGAGCAGACTGGTTCTGTAACTGGAAATGTAACGGAGCGATCCCGTTCGGTTCAGAGCAGCCGTCTGATGAGTGAAGCCTAAAAAACCCTGATCCCAAACCAGAAACCTAAAACTTTCTCTTGTCTCTCACACGATCACCTAATGGTAACATGTGCAAACAGTTCTTCCACAACACAGCTAATGAATACTAAAGAGTGAAATCGTGGCTGCACAGTCAGCCTGGTGGTCTCCTTCAAGGTCGCAGAGTAAAAGGTGTCTAGCCAACTCGCTGAGGAGACGCAAGTTAAATTTAAATAATTTGGAAATTTAGCGAACCAACAAAAGGAAAAGCAGATGAAACAGAAATGTGTGTCTCGATAACTAGTAAAGTGAAGTATGTTATTACTTGTACAAAAAGCTGTTAAGACTAAAAACCCAAACCTGGTATATGTTTTTTAAATATCTGAAGATAAAGTGGATGTACAAAGGAATGTTATATTTATTAACATCTTTACTGAGTTGCCTCAGCAAAGAGTTACAGTTTAACAGTAACATTTATTTCAAATAAATCTCTATAAAAAGAAGAAACATATTCCCATGTAGTGTTTCAGGGTCAAACTTACAGACCTTTGATAGCAGGTTAGAGGCACACAGCCAATACCTGTAAGTGTAAAGGTTGGATTTGGGTTTAAGTCATTCGGGTTGGGAAAAATCCTAATTGTTTGAGATTGTTGTAAAACAAGAGGATTGTAGGTCTAAACCTTCCGCTTTAGAGGACGAAATCCATCCGTCACCTTCAGTCTGCACAGAGTGAGAAACTTAATGCTGAGAGCACTGACGGCGTTTGTCTGAACTCCTGATTGAAACTTTTCATAAAAAGTCCTGGACTCTCACTGCAGCAGCTCCTCCCAGGAGATGGGTTTGGAGAAGACCTCGCGCTCCAGCCAGAGGTCATAGTTCATCTGAAAGTCCTCGGGCAGGTCCACGCGCTGTCCCAGTACACTTTGCAGACAGTTGTCTACAGGCAGGAAGTCCGGGTTGATGTGGCTCTTGTCGTAGCGGCGGCTGTTGAAGCGCTCAATGTTGGCCCGCAGAGCACACTCCTCGGCCTGGAAGTCCCAGGGCCGGGCGTCCAGATCTGGTCAACCAACAGCAGCTCATGTTTAATGCTCAGTGAAAATACAACTCAGTCCTAACCTTGACTTGGGACTGCCACTAACAATTATTTGCCCTTCAGAATAGTCCTCAGATCAATACTTTGGTCTATAAAAGTAAGGAACACCATCACCACTTTTTATACCCAACCTTGTTTTGGCTGAAACCCTTAGACACAATTAAGATTTTTTTGTTGTCTTAATTGTAGAAAAACTCAAAAGATGTTTGATAGTCAGAAGCGTTTCACTGCAAACAACTGGAAATTAACTGCCAATCAATAATATACACACGCTACAATGCAGTGAATTTATCACACTTTCTTCTCCCGGCTGAAGCTTCCATCTACACTGAATTCACACGTCATTTGTTCCACTCACCGTTCCCGTAGGCCCAGTCGTCGTTAAGCCGATGTCGGACCTTCTGGTAGATGGCTGACATGGTCTTCATGTTGCTCTTCCTCCACTGACGTCCGAGGTATTTGGTCTGAACTTTGAGCAGCTTGAGGACGTAAAGCTGCATCATGGCCTGCTTGACCTTCAGCGCCCTCTTCAGGATGGGAGCGGACTTAAACACCACCAACATCTGGGATGGAAAAGATAAAGAGTTGAAAGCTCAAACATTTCCTTTTCAAGGAAAAGGGGAGAAATGTCTGTTGTGATGAATGCTATTTGAGGAGCAATGCGCTCACCATTGTCCTGGAGTGCTTCCACTTGGTCAGTTTGTTGAGGATCCTCAGCAGGTTGATGCAGGAGAACAAATTTCTCCAGCAAAACTGAGTATTGTCCCCTGCTTCCTGTAAAAGACGGAATGTCCACAAGTTACTTCAGTTCTGCTTTTTACATAAGGAGTCAACACAAAAAAAAGAAGGAAAAAAAAAAGAAGAACTCACCAAACTCTCTGCTGTTAGTTCCGGGAGCTCATGCACCACACAATAGGGAAAGTCAATAACTGAAATACTATCAGGGAAAGGGAAAATAAGAACAATGATTTAAAGTAACCCTTCAATAACATGTATTTATCATGAAGTTGTGATTTTTGTAATTCAAAGAGGCCTTGAAAGTACCCGTTTTTAGCTGTGATGTAAGACATGATGTTCTGGTTGAAGAACTTCAGAATGAGAGGAATGCAGTTGGCAAACACCAGGTGTTGAGCCATGTACTCAAACTGCGAGACACACGCACAAAAATACGAGGTTTATTAATTTCCTCATATAATGGCTAAATTAAAAACAATCATCTTTTGATATCTAAAGGTGTGCGATGTCTGTACCTGGTAGATGTGGTTGAGCTTGAAGTGCTTGAGAAGCAGCAGCAGGATCGCGGAGATGGCCTTCACAATGATCTCTTTGTGTCGATTCACATCGACACCGAGCTTCATGCTTTGCAAAACTGTAGTCCTGCAGCACAAGATTCCCAATTTTGAGTTAACCTACAATTCTTTTAGTTTCATTTGGTTTATTAAGGTCAGACAACCTTCCATCTCTTCAATATTTACATTGTTTGTTACATCTTTCCAACCCTGTACTTTTTCCACTTCAGACATGAATGTAATTTTAATGTTGTTACCAAAGTCAGGATATCTCCTTTGTTCAGAACTCAATGCTGCGCTGGAGAAGCAACCGGCAAAGCTGTTAAAACCCTTCCGGAGGCTGTGCATCACTTACGGCATCTCCTCCGGCAGCACGTCTGCCAGGATGTTGATGGAGTCCGTCTTGGCTTTAGAAGTCGGAGCCGCTGCCAGCAGGATCTTAAGCAGAGCGATCTGACATTCAGAGAGACAAACCGTGGACTCGGTTACAATCTGACATGGAAGCTGACGGCTGCTTCTGAACGGTGGTGGTTGATATTTGTACTTTGACCATTAAACCAGATTAAGTAGTCATAATGTTATAATATTTAGCAACTTCAACTATCATCTTCTTTTTTTTTAAGTTTGCTTTAATACAAAATCAATTCACAGAGGCATTTAGCCATATAATACATATAAAAGTAGAAATAATAAAAGCTGTGTCAAGCATATTGTAACACGCGTCATACACAGTAGCAGAGTGAATACCTCACCCCAAACAGCACTAACCATGTATTGAGGCAAACTCGGTAGAATTCCCTGATAGAGCAGCTCAGTGGAGGACATCTCCACCTCCTCTTCACCCTTATGAGGAGGAAGGTGGAAACAAGGAACATGAAAAAAGAATTTGTTACCACCTCAATAATAAGCAAAGACCTAAGCAACTACATTCGTTTTGTAAATGCCGTCCTTGTGGACAAAAGCATTAGTTTCCAAACACCAGATTCCATTTACAAAACCAGCAGCATTCCCATTCCAAGAGTTCTGGCAATGGTTCTTCTTTGACTGCAGCCATACAGGACCGGCTTTTCAGCTACACTGAGATATATACCAGACCGGTTTCAACTGTTCCTTACAGCAACTTTGACCTCATTCTCAGCTATGTGAGGTGCATTCCAGCACTCCCTTTGAACTACATGGAGAAGGCTTTTAAACCCTGCATAGTACCAAGATACTGGAAAGACAAGAATATTTGAAGTTTTATATATTATTTAAAAAAAGACTACCAGTCAGAGAATGACAGAAAAAATATAACATTTATATTCTTGGTTTGTTTAGTAGCTTGAGGGTAGAGTTGAAAAATGTGAATATGTCTCTACACAGCAAACATCATTCACAGATTTAACAATAATTCCAGGTTAACAGATTTTAACATTTGGGTTCCACTTACTCCGGACAGAGGGGTTTTCTGAAACTCATCCTCCTTTGAAATCTGTAGCTCAGCAATAGAGACGTACTTATGCTGAAAAAAAGCAGAAAACTTGTTATCTGTAAATCTTGCAATAATTTAGAAAATCCTTAAGGTTTAATACATTTATGCAAAATTGTCAAACACAAATGCAATACCTGCTTTAACGTCTTTATACTTTCATGAATTGGCCTCGGCAAGCCAACAACTGTGTCCGTATCACTGTAAGACGTGCACAACATTAAACTCAGCACATGCAATAACGTCACAGTGCAAAGTAGTTACTTTTTAAATAAAGCAAACAAGGAGAAAACTTACTTTCCAAGCGTGTAACCAATAAATTTACTTCTACTTGATTCCAGGAAATTTTCTATGTCCTTTTCCCTGTTGGCGCAAACAATGATGACAATGATGAGCATGATGGATGACTTCCATCTTCATCTGCATGATATATATTCTTTGGTGATTTGAGCATGTAAAGAAGGAATGGATAAACACCTGACTTTAGGAGCCCACGGCAGCCCTTTGGGGAAGGACACCCTCTCTGATGGAGGGTGCGGAATCGGCGGAGGCATCACCTCGTCCCTCTCAAGAGGGAAAGTCTCTGGCTCCATGGAGTTGTCATTGTCATCGTTGTCGTCCTCGTCCTCACGAGAGTCGTCCGCCTTATAAGGATCCTTTTCATTGAATGCGTCAAGATTGTCCTGTTTAATCAACCCCTGTGTGGGCAACAAGGAGGATGTTGACAGGTCGAAAATTTGATTTTGTGCAGATGTTTCCATAAAATCCAAGGGAAAAGGAAAAATGAACACATGTGCTCTGAAACACAGGCACAAAGAAGACTTGGACTGGCAGCGTGTAGACATAATCAGTAACATCAGTTTTCAGTTTTGGCAGCAGTCGTCTACCTTGTGTTCGCGGCGCGCCCTCTTTTGCTGCTGATCTATGAGGTCGGATGCAGACGCAGGAGGAGAAGCAGCCCTCATGCTGCGAATGACTCGAATGCTGTCTTCTGGGAGAGGGGGGAGACCTAGCTCCCCGCGCCTGTGCACCTTTATGCTCAGGAGCTGCTCAAAGCCTCCGAGCGTGAACTTAAACCGGAAGAGAGGATTTTAATTGGAGTTCATTGACTTCAGACATTGACTTTGCTGTTGAATGTGGAAGCACTTCATGTGTCTCACCAGTATGCTTTTCCACAACAGCAACAACACCTTCTTCATTGGGAAGTGAGGCGCATGACCACTGCAGAACTTGGTGACCATGCCGAAGAGCATGACAGAAATGGGCTCGTTGTTGAACAGGGGGGAGCCTGTATTTGAGAGTCAAATTAGAATTTGTTCACCTCGCGAGGTTTGTTTATATCGGAGACATGACTGCAGCTTTTGCCAAACCTACCCAGCTCTGCTCTGAAGGTTTCCCTGATGCTATTCCATTCAGGCTTGTCGGCAGGGTCATCCTGCTGTATTGTTTCCACCATCAGGTACATAATGTTGAGCAGCACTCTGAGATCTGTGCTGTCCGCAAGGGAGATGGCTGGTTTCCTAACAGCACTACTGCAGGCAGCACTATTACTGAAAGGGAGAATACAAATGTTTAATACTCTACTGAGCCACATCATTTTACAATAACAATTTAACCGGAAAATATATGTAGCTTTGCCAAGCCGACCCACATACTTCAGTTTCGTTCACTTTGATCCAGCAAAGCGCAAGAAGATTTTTCTTATCAACAAGCTGTATCACATTAGAATATAGGTAAACTAACATCCTGTGGAAAAGAAACTCCATTTAGGATGACTTCTGCATGGCTAAAGAACTGATGAGAGAACATACTCAATTTCCATGTTCAGCAGCTCCACCAGGGCAGAGAGGGTCCCCACATCCAGCAGCAGAAAGATGTTGTATCTCATCCAGTACTGCACCTCAGCCTCAGAGCTGCACTCAGCAAAGGTTCCTTCAGAGAAACAAAATGTCCCTCAGTAGAATATACAAAGAACCAACCAGATTGTCATTTCAAGCAGTGGCCCTGTGTGCAAGAATGATGTTATGCTAAACCAGTTGTAAATAATGTGGACTCACCCTGAGCCATGTACAGAATGGCTCTGGCAGCTTTCAGCCTCCTCTCGCGGGCAATAACCTCAAGACCGTCCAACAGGCGCATGGCGTGAGCTCTGTGCTGAGCAGCATCAAGCTCGGTCCACTTCTTATCCGAAACTAAGACACAAAAGGTGGAGATAATAAGCCGTAGATACCATAGTAATCTTGGATATAATACATTGTTTATGAAGAATTCAATAAGATTTGACGGAGTATGTTTGTTGCACTACATACCATGTGTTTTGAATTCAACCTCGAAGCATTTCCTATTGAGACCGAACTCTGGCCCTTCGGTATAACTATACAGCTCTGAAACACATAGAAAGTATAGAAATTATGTAAACACATTATATGTTCCAAAAATGAAATTCAGAGGAAATACCAGGAGTCAGGATTAGTCAATGCATGATGACACACACCTGACAGCTCAGCAGCCCACTTGTCTGTATCAGCATATTTGAACTCAAGGTCTGGAGACTCAGACAGCCCCTATAAACAACACACGACACATGTTATGCCCTTATGATTAGAATCACAACAGAGTAATAATTCAACTGACATCAGACAGATAGCCACTATAATACATATTCATTCTACAGATATCAATATATTTATAGGTGTCACTATTTAACAGAATAAACCATTGTTTATTAGTCACAGGACCAGCTGCACTGTTAAGAATAAAAATCCCCAACTATAATATGCTTAATAACAGAACACAGTGAAGAAAACCAAAGTAACATTGTGAATGCAACGCGTCATCATGTAAAGGACGTCCATGTAACGATGATTACGTTGTCTTGATTCTAGTAGTAAAGAGGCTAATTCTAAAATCCACGTTTATTAACACACTAGAGCAGTAGGTTTTTAAAGAAGAAGCCCGTTTGCCTCTCGGGTGATTCCGTTTTCAACAGGTGGACTTCTGACAGCGACTTCTGTCTGGCCTTTGACGAGCTAACATCAGCTAGCTAGCCCCTGCTAAGCTACATTACTGTTCAACGTAACATATGTTCCCAAAAAAAACTAGACGGGAAACACTGCACAATATATAGGAACTGCTTGGATACTCTCACCAGCCCCCGTGGCTACTGTTGTTACGTTGCCTAAGTTATTGGAATCAGAATTGATAGCTGAGCTAGCCGGACAGAGCTAACGTTAGCGCTCGTCCCAGCAGCAGAAAAGGCCTCGACAGTGTGTCCGGTGAACTCGAAATTGTTTTTTAAACTACGTACCTCTGAATCTTTTCTTGGGTTGCGGGTAAATTCGCCCTTAGCCTTGTTGGGTAGCATTGCTCTCTGTTTATTGTTTACAGGAAGCCCACCACTGTTTCCACCGGCGTCCATCACTTTTTATCTAAAGTGTCCTCTCGCGAGAGGTTGTTCATCCACGAGACATGGACTGGTAGCACTCATTTTTTCATACATTTTGAAAGAAGTACACATACATTATGTGGTTGGCGTCCTAGCCATGCTAGTTGTACTTGTACAACATAGATATGTACTACACACGTCATAATAACTTCTATAATACTTTATATTGAAAGGAAATCCATTAACGTGCAGAGGTCCTCAGATAAACTGTCTACTGCTCAATGTCAGTAAACCATAAGGGGATGATCGTTGATTTTTAAAAAGAAGAGATGAGTAAATGCACCCTTGACCACATCAAATGAACTAAGGTGTAGCCAATTAGCAGCTTTAAATTCCTGAAAACCAGCATCATAAACAATCTGGTATAGTCCCCACACATCTCCATAAGAAGACTTAAAAAGGACACACTCCCATTACAAATACTTGTCAACTTGAAGGAAAAGGAAGAGTATGGTTGTGTTTCGTTGTGATTCTAGTAGTAAAGGGGCGAAATAATGCATCAAAGCCTTTTTAAATCTAAACAAGTATTTTATTAAAGGGAACTGTGCAAATAAATCAAGCAGGGTGTGCACACTGCCAAAATTGTGTTCTTGAAAATAACAGCCTAATTTATAATTATATTCTTCAAACTAAAAATCATCTCAATGTCAAAAACTTCAAACAATTAGCAGTGTGCAGTCAAATCACAAAGGAGCTTATTTCGTTCAATATGACAAGAGTCAAGATGTTTGTTCCGCTAAGAATACATTCATTTGTCTCTATAATAGAGTTAGAACAATGGTCGAATGACTTTATTATTAATTAAAACATGTTAAAGATCTATTTTAAAGTCAATTTAAAATAGTTTTAAAGTGATTTTTGCTGCATAGCTATCACTGTATATTGCAGAATAACAATCAGTGTGGGGACATCCCCATACAGAAAACAGTAATACATGTGAATAGAAATGAATAAGTGAGTCACAAGGCACTGTCAACTGACCAGTAACCACAGTCACAGCGCTTATTTTGGTTGCAATGACGTCCTCAATCGATTTCCTTGGCTCTGATGCTTTTAAAAATGTCCTAGTGCAAAGATGAAAGCATTTGATAGCAGCATCCCGTTGGCTACTATACAATTAAACAGGCGGATCAATGGACAAAGCGGTGTTAGCTAAAATTCACAAACATGAAATACAGGAAACACCTGTAATTCTGTCGGCATACGGCTTGGTGAAGGATGATGAAACACCTTAAAAAGGTAACAAGTTTCTGATCCCTCATCAGGGACAGTAATGCTGTCAACAGTTTGGTGAAAGATTTGGCCAACAGACCATCAGAGTGATAAACAGGATGATGAAAAGCAAAAAATTCAGCATGACACAACTACCTCCAGAGTATATAGTTTGAATTAAAAACAATAACTCAGCTAAATAGACTATTTGTGGTAAATTGACGTAGTGGTAGAAGTAAATACAGACAATTAAAAGTGGCATAATGAGTTTGTGCATTTAACACGCCCCACAAAAACTGTGCTTAGCCTTTTGAAAAACGAAAACATACTTGTCTGATGTTAGAATTGTCAACAGAAAAAGAGACAGCCTCTAGTTATTACATGAGCAGGCTCCTCTGACAAATCTAACAATAAACTCAGCGTTGCAATTCAGCAAATACAATAATGAGATTGGCTGGTCCGATGCTGCAACATGTACAGCATAAACATACAGCTCAACATGTAGTCTATAACATGTGATATCTAAACAGAATGTAAATAGCTGCAATAGTCAACTAACTCAGTAACATATATTTTAGTATCAATATCTCCGAACATATTTTACAGTTCCACTGTAAATAATATTTTAATGTAAATGACTGTTGAGACTAGACATGGACACTAACTTCAGATATTGCTGATTTGGTAGAAATACATTTACAAAAAATGTGAGATATTTGGATGCGCTTTGGATGTTGTGCATATACTATTCTAATTAAACACCAAAACCTCATAAAAGGAAAAATAAGTCTTAAAAATAAAGGCCAATTCATGTCTCTACTTGTCTCATTCTTCTATAATGTGGATAATACTAGAGAACGGTACATTTTTTCTCTAACTTGGGGATGGAATGTATGAAGTAAGTGCACAAAGTTATTTTTGAACAGAGCACAGAAACAAACAGTCCTGCTTTGCAATCGGATCATCATGCATTTATGGCTCGCTTGGCAGCAAATAGTTGATTACCCCAGCAGACACACAACAGCCACTAATTGCAGTCAAGTTTTTTGTCCCCTGACAAATTAAAGGTAATTTTGTTCACCTACTCCTGAGAAATACAATTGGAGCTTGACCTCTTCCTTGGCTGCTAGTGGGTCTGTGTAAAAGTTGATGAGAGACAAAGCGAGGAGCTAACAGCGGCTAAAAACCTCAGCGAGTTTTTGTTTTATGGGTTTGGAATTTCAAGTGGAGGAACAAAATATGTTTATATTAAGGGAATCGCTTTGAGAGGGTTTTACAACTAATCACGAGCATTTTACAACAACTTCGACCCTTCTCTATCACAGTCATTTGGCACAAAATATGTATACATTAATCAGCATCAAGCACTAAAATAACGTCGCGGGACGCAGATTTGGAAACGAACAATAATGGTAGAAAAATTGAACTGAACATCTGATAGAAGTGTGTCGGTTACACTGAATTTTCATATCAAGCTGGGTGCCGTGTGCAGTTCTGAAGGAAACAGCAAGTGAGGCAAAATCTAACGCGGTCAGTAAAATACAATTAGATAAAAGCTTTGCATCATGTGTAGAGGATGAAAAACAAAATACATAAATCTTTCTCTTTTCTTCAGTGATCGTAGGGTTCACATTTAGATCTGTGGTTTCTTTGCAAATTAATACCTGTGAACCAAGAACAAGTTTAGTTATGAAATGCTTGGTATTTAAATGTTAAATAATCTTTATATAATTGATGTCACAGTTGCAACACTCTGCAGAACTGTACCTGTAGTAGTTGGGTTTGAAAGGGCCATTCTTATTCAGGCCCAGGTACTTGGCCTGATCATCAGAAAGCTCCGTCAGGTGGGCATCAAAAGTGGTCAGATGCAGACTGGCAACATATTCATCTGGAATAAATGTGGTCTATTAGGAAATGGATACCCAGCTTGAAGAGGTCAGTAGTTAAAGAATTAACTGCCGCTGGGCATAGGTAAGCCTTTTTAATTAGTCCTGCCTGAAACATCCACCCAACACTCTTAAAGCTTAAACGCAAGGCATCCTGAGAAAGAATGAGACTTGTAAGCTTTGAACATTGATACTTCAGGTCAGGGTCTTAATATCCTCACCCATCTTCTTGGGAAGCAAGTAAACATCCTGCTTGTATCGTCCCTCGGGAGCGTTGTACAACTCTATAAGGGCCAAGGCCTGAGCACAAATGGATGAACATAATGGGTAGAATAGGGTCTGAACACCTGAGCGGACGGCAGCATTACAACTTTGCATCTTTATCTGCTGAGCAGAATAGCTTCTTGCAGGCTAAATGTTGTCGTCGGTGGTTACCTGGGTGGTGGCTGTGATGGACAAGACAAAGGTCGGAACAGTGGAGCAGCTGAGATTAAGAAGACGACCCTGTGGAAGAAGACAACGTGCAAGAGATAATCCACTTAGTGAGTGTGTTCCAATTATATGAAACCCGAGCAGAGTTTCTGTGTTTTGTTGCATGAAATTAAAAGTCAAGCGAGAAAATATTACATTTTCCACAATATTAGACTAACACAGACAAACTGTAATGCAGCCTATTACCTCAGCCAGAAGGATGACCCTCTTGCCATCAGGCCAAATTACGTGATCCACCTGAGAGCGCACTCTCTCCCAGGTCAGCTCGGGGGTCCGAAGGCTTGCCTGAAACGTGAGGTCAGGTTTATGAGCACTGTTTGAAATGCACAACAACTCACTCCGCAGGATGGTTCAACTTAGTTTTTCCGTCGTAGCACAATTTACCACATCAATCTCAGTATTGGAGTGGCCCATGTTGCAGACAATAGAGCCATTTTTCATGCGGTCCAGCTGGTCTCTGGTTACCACGTTCTTGTTCCCTACGGAGAGACACCATCAATCATTGTCCGCATCGCAGGATAAAATTAGCATCCAGCCGGAAGACCGCGCGCAAAGGCCAGTAAACTAAAAGGCATCTGTTATGTCATAAAAGTATAAATAGTAAGGCTGTATAATGCAATCCCACGTCAGTATTCCCAAATGAGCAGTTAACACCTGCACGGTTAGAAGTGGAGTTACCAGTGCATGTGATGATGACGTCAACCTGGCGGATGACCTCGTTCAGTTTGACCACCCTGAATCCGTCCATGCTGTTAAAGAGAGCGCATATTTTTGTCTCAAAATATGGTTGTTAAATAATTAATAAAACACAGATCGCTGGCTAAACTGTGTTATGCGTCCTGCTGTCTGTGCCACTGATACATTCTTGACATTCAACAGATTCAGCGTGGATCATCATAATCCCACTTCTTGTTTTCCTCACCAGGCCTGCAGGGCACAGATGGGATCAATCTCTGTAATACAGACGACGGATCCAAGAGCTTTCAGAGCGGCACAACAACCTTTTCCAACCTGCAAGGCAAGACAGTTACATGTGCCTGTTATTGCTTGACAAGTGTAATAACGTCAGAATCCTGCAGATTCAGATTCTTTGAAATCGTCTGGATTAAACAACGCAGACACGGTACATATTGTTCAATGAAATTGGATGACAGCTGTCTCTGTTATGAGTCTCCGGCCCGTGTTGTCTGAGGTCTTACCATTGCTATGTGTCATCCTCATGAATGTTCTCACAGCTATGTGACAGAGATCAGTGTGCTATGAAAATGTTACAAGAAGCATCTCACCTCCCCGTACCCACATACGACCACCTGTTTGCCTCCAAACATGACATCTGTGGTTCTCTTCAACCTAGAGAGGTTTGTGGCACATAAATTAACATTTTAAGTGATAAACTACCAATGCAAATCAGTAGGATTATATTATAGATTAATACATATACGTATATTTATATACATATATACAATATAATATATTTACACACAAAGTTCTGTGACAGTTCAACAGCTTTAATTAATATCCCAAAGCACGTTTCATTAAAACAGATCATTAGCGACCTTAAATATCCCAGTGCAAGAATCTAAAAGTGTAAATGGTTCTGAAATTTAGTGCAAGCAGCACATGATGCAACACCTGCTGCTTGTAGATTATTTATGGGAAGGAAAAGTAATAAATGATTAAGCACTGACTCGATACAGAGATGTGCAGACGTTGTTAAAGAGAACTACACCATTTATATGCTGTTGCGGTGGTAACTAACAGGGCGGTAATAAATTGAATAGCTGTGTTTTCAGGCTGTTTTGTTCCGTGTTGAATAACGTCTAGAGAGTGTGCACAGTAACAGCAAGACAAGGAGACGGGCCCTTTGAAAAAAGGACTAATATTTAAGGCCAATTTGATCTTTTCTTGGTCCGGGTGAACATTAAGTCATTCCAGTCTCACATTACACACTATTAACTTGTATTTCTTTATAACTTTGGTCACTACAAAACTGTCGGATGAACAAAGTGTTGTAAAGCTGTTATTGCTCAGCCTTCCAACAACGACACACGTAAAACTCAAGTCCACCTACCCGTCCAGGATGGACTCTCTGCAGCAGTAGAGGTTGTCAAACTTCTGCTTTGTCACAGAGTCATTTACATTCATAGCCGGAACGGACAGTTTTCCAGCTTTGGACAGCTGATATAACCTAGAGGTGTGCAAGAAAAGGACAGTGGAGGGCTTTACCTTCATCGTAGCTGCTGGAGTGGTACTAAATATTCTATAGGAATGAAGCAGATAATCACCTGTGAACCCCAGTTACACTCTCCTCTACAATGCCCCTGATCTTCTTGAATACGTTGGGGTATTTTTTGTACACCCAGTGGGTCAAATCTCCTCCGTCATCAAGGATCTAACAGACAAGTGACAAATATTGACATACATAAGCTATTAGCTGAAATCATTTAAACGACAATGTCTTTTTGAGGCATCTGTTCACATATCACAGTCTACTGCTGCATAACTGGTCCCTCACACAAGGTAGAAAGAAAACTTTTCCATGTACCATGTTGGGCTGCCAACCCTCAGTATTGACACAGCGGTCGATGCACCACCAGAAGTCATCCTCAGACTCCCCTTTCCAGGCAAACACCGCCACACCTGAAACAAAACCGATGGGGGAAACCTTGAGGTTATACAGCGATAACTTGTATATATAACGTATTTGTCTTTAGGCTGATATCTCAGGCACGTTTACTCAAATGCACACATGGCCGTGATTGAAGGCAGATAAACAGACCACTGTGGTTTACAATTCTCAGCACTTTATGCCTTCACATCACATATTTGTCAACGTGTCATTTATTACAGCAGCAAAGACAGAACATTTTAACGTCTCGACCGTCGCAGACATTTGTGGTGCCCTTAAGCTTCATGAAAATGCTTTTTTCAAAACAGTTTGTATGTAGTAAACTATGCAGAGCCAAAACTTATCAGAGCAAAAACGTATCAACCCCCTTATCAGTCAACCCTCCAAAAATGCAAAGACTGCACTAAGCTACACCTTGATTTGTTGTAACCCCCTCCCCTTGTCAGATCATGAAAAGTCCACAGTGGAAATTTAGTACATACTTAAACCGTCACATAGCAACCGCAGATAAAAGGCTGAAGTAGCGCTGCTGGTTCCCTAAAGGCCAAATCTAATGTGCTGCCATTATCTCCGCAAGGCTGATTTTTCAAGAGTTTATTAAACATTTTCAGTGTCCTCAGTTCTAAAAGCCATAAAAGAGATGCCCACATGGTAAAAACAAATCCAAAAAAACACCTTATACTTATTGTTATTGTTTGTAATGAAGTGCAAAAAAAATATGTAAGATTTCCACCACTTTGAGATGGTGAGGGGCCAAAAACAAGCGTTTGTTGCCAGTATTCAACAAAACATTCAACAAACAATACTCCCAGGATTGAATGAGTTTTCTCCACCTCATCTACTGCTTACCTGTCTCTGACAGAGCAGCAGCCACTTCGTTCTGTGTGGAGTAAATGTTACATGCAGTCCAGCGGCACTGAGCCCCAAGAGCCGCCAGAGTCTCGATCAGCACCTGAAAAAAAAAACCACAGCAATTGTGTATTTGAATAGTAATCCACCAAATCAACAGCACTCAAGTAACAGAAGAGTTGAGATCCTGTTTTTTAGACGGTGAGTAGTGCAGACATTTGACTTAAAAACCGGTCTTGATCGAGAGGTACCATCACACTACATTAAATGCTCGGGCGCTGAAGCTCAGAGAGAAATCTTACTGCGGTCTGGGCAGTGATGTGGGTGCAGCCCACTATTTTGGCACCTGCCAAAGGTTTCTCACTCTGCGCTCTCTTCCTGAGTGAGATCAGCGCCGACATATCTGAAAACATGCAAAGGGGGGATGTGAGAAAGACAGCAGATGATGCAAAATTCTCTCGCAAAGATCAAGTTAAAAAAAACGATCCTTCATTTGAGAAAATGAACTAGACGAAGAAAATACAGACGCTTTGGCTGTTTCTTGACTGTAACGTTATCTTGTGTGGTGAAAGCTTGGTTCGGTTTTATTTCTTTAATTAGACCACATGGAATAAGCCAGATCAGGAATGTTAGGGGCTCCAGCTCAAAAGAACAGTGCCTGCAGTGAATAGACAGCTTTGCAGATTTACACATTTCCATGTGTTTGGTTTAACATATTATGACACATTACTTAGGTTACGGGTGAATTAAATCTGGACTTTGACCCAGCCGTGTCTTACCTTGTTCTGCGATCTCAATCTCACGTCTTCCAAATTCAGCCTGTTTGATGCTCTTGACGCAGAAGTCGCTGCTTCCCTTGGAGTTCACCTGAGTTTTGTCTCGAGGTGAGGTCTCATCGTCAGAGCTATCCGTATAGGACGCGGCTGTAGAGGAAACACGGTCTTTAATCAAAAGCCACCAAAGAACACAAAAGTGGTTTGATGAAATTAAAGCTCTATATTTACCGCATCCAGTTACCACTCTCAAATTCAGTTAACATCTAAACTAACCGGTTTTTCTTCATCAAAAGAGAGCCAGGGATTCATGTGATTATACATTATGATCACTGGAGGTCAAGCAGAATTTGCAGTTTCTCCTTCTTACCGGAGCCGTAGCTGTCTGTGGAGGACTGGGAGATGGAGCGGGACAGGGAGCGACGCCCGGCCTTGGTGGGGAACCTGCTGAACTCTTGCTTGTCCTCCACAAACTGGATTTGCTAATACACATTTATACATAAAAAGGAAAGAAAAAATTAAATTGCACGCTTTGTGTTCAAAGATGGATCAGACTGAGGTCATTTCCAATTATGAACTCAGATTGAGGTTCTGCCTTGGAGTGACAACCATCCTCTCCCTAAGTAAAAGGGGGAGGTAGCCTGTTCCTATTTGTAAAATATTGTAGTGTAAAATATCGTAGTGTGGAAGAAGTGAAATTGAGAACAATTAGGATCTTTACTAAAAAACACTTTGGCGACTTGATAATCCTGTTGCTTTGAGTGCGCAGTGATATGGAACGCTCGGGTCAATGTTAACAGCCACTGTACATTATCGCTGAATAATGCACCACCCGTCACTCACTCTCACCCAATCACAACGCTGGATTTCATCCACCCGTATTATAAAGTATAATATAGTTTTGGTGTGAAAGTGTCGGCATGCACCTTGGAATTGTAACTATTGATTCATTTCCACACTTAGTAGCCTATCCTATTATCCTAACTTGATTGCCTGTTTATTATTTTCTTCTGCCATGTGAGTAGCTAATGGACACTCAAGGCCAAGCAGACTGTGTGTGAGAGGGAGGAACCGGCGCCACGTCTGGTCAGCTAATCTTTTTTGAGTGAGAAAAACAACTTCTTCCAGGTGCTGAAGCGTTATCTCCAATTCAGTCAACAGGAAAAAGTTTATACCTCAGCAGTTTCCGGGGTATTTTTGTGTCAGGTAAGCTTTGGAACTTGGAATCAGAGATAGAAAGAATCAGAGCATGGGAACCTAACGTTAACACATGAGGGTGGTGATGTTGTACAGGCAGGACAGGTGATCGGCCAGAAAAAGGTTATTTTATGCCGACACCTGGTTTTACATTATTTTATAGAAGCCAAACAAGTATTGTAATATTGTGTATGTATGTATGCAAGTTTTATTGGACCTAAAGTTTAAATGTGTGTGCATTATGGCTCACATTTATTAAGTTCCTCCTTGAAAGAGAATGAGGATGTGAAACAATTCTTAAGTGGGACTTCCAGGTTGACTAATCAATCTTGGCTTTCTGGTCAAGCCTGGTATGTTGGCTACGAGTAAAAACAAACTCAAGAGGGTGTATTTTACTTTAAAATAAAAATACTTTACACTTGAAACCCCCAAGAATGCCAGGTGAAACTCTTCCTTGTTCCTTGAAGGTGTCATTCGACACCCCTCTTTTGTTAGTGTTAAATGGAGCACATCATTCAGCTGTTTCTTGAGTTGGATGTGGAGAAGATAAACTGAACTGGGGTTTTTTTTTAGCAAAGAAGCACAATAGTGACTAAGAATTAGTCTTCAGTCATTGTATACACATAGACAGTGGAAATGTGCCCAATGTGACTTTTCAATGCTGATCTTCTATTGCTGGTTAATACTTTTAAGAATAAAGAAAACTTATTTTTTAAAGTAAATCACATTCTGGGGTAAAGAAAGACAAATCTAAAAACTGTCATAATGTTTATTGTAGCGTGTACAACAAATGTAGAGGTAGGCCTATTTTCACATACAATATTATTCTCCAGACTGCATTTTCACCACTGTATCAGCTTTATTCTGCAACACAGATTAAGAGACAACCTATTTGTGAATGATTATTTGTGTATAATTTGGCTTGGATCTGTTATGAATACAAATATATTAAACGTTGCAAAAAGGAAGAAGAAGGCTATTTGCTGTATTCCCCATCAGGAAGATAATGGTCGGTTATACTGGTCAGTGTGTGGTAGGCGGGTTTGATCGCACTTATCGATCCACAACCGATCCCGTGCGCCCACACGAACACGGCACATTGATTCGGTCCTCTGGCGACCACGTATCGAACAGACTGACCTTTGACCCGCGGCACCGACCTTACCTTTTTGACGGGCTTGTGCGCGGGCACCGCGCTGAAGGCGGACGACAGCTCTGCCATGTTCATCTCGCTGTTCTTGCTCACGGTCATAGCGGAGTATTTTTCCGCCACGTTTTCGCTCTCCTTCACCTCTTTGCTCGCCTGTTTCACCTCCAGCTTCGCCTCCCCTGACACGTCCGACATGTCGACGGTGTCTTGTCAAAAAACAACAAAACAAAAAGAAGCCCCTCTGGTCCGCTTTCCCGGTAGTAAACGTCAGAGCGGCTAACGCTCGCGATGCTCTCTCGCTGCTAGCTAACTTCTCCCCAACAGCGAGCGGAAGAGATGCTTTCGAATTAAGTGCGTGTAAAAACGGTTAACAATCACGCAAAAAAGAGGTGATGACAGGTGTCGTTGTCTGGTCTGTTGTGTGCTGCGCAGAGCCGTGGTGAGGGCAGCGGGCTCAGCTCAGCTGTCACCTATAACGATCGCAGTCGGGTATTTAGCGACATGGACCCGCCTCCTCCTGCTCATGCAAATTCCATGTGTACAAACACATGAACCAAAGCACGCATGTTCCCGGCCGTGTGGAGCGTATGCTGGTGCATGGGGGCCGAACGGGAGGAATTAAGTGTATAAATTGTTTTTTACCCAGTGTGCATTATTCCCACAGCGATCTTTTGGGACGGAGAGGGAACGACAGGCTGCGACCGGGATTCCAAAAAAAGAAAAGAAAGTCGTGATACCACCACGTCCGTTAGCGTACATAGCAACGCAGTTAGCATCGTGGCTAACCCCGCTGTATTAACGTTACATGACATTATAATAGCATTATAAAACATACTGTCAGCCTGAGTGTGCTAAGCCGGGCAGCCTGGTACGACAGAGCCGCTCCACTGTGTGTGTGTGACGGGTCATCGTGTTTTAATACAGAGGGACAAGAGCAGCAAGTCATAGTGGTGCTAACACCGCAGCTAGCTGACCACCTCCCAAATGCTCTGTTCAAAACAGCAAGTGACCAAAAACAGCTGAGATGCAGCAGGAGCCCCTCAGGTGGGGGGCTGTCATTTGCAGAGAAAACACAGGCACTCTTTTTTCCATATTATTATGTGGCGTGTGTGTATATATAGTAAGTAGTATAATGCCTCACAGTCCTGTGCTATGAAGTTATACTTACTTCAGTAATACATATTGACAATATGAGTCTGATTGAAATGTATTTATTTAACGTTAGAAGTTAATATTGTTTTCCCTTACTGTTACTCAAAACTACGGTAAAGCTTTCCTTCATAAAACTGTCCGTTTATTTATTTTATAAATACAATAAAGACATTGCACCTTGATCCACATCAATGTAACAGCACCAGGGTTCGTTGTGCATTTTATGAATGTTGTTCCATAGCCTGATATGAAACCATTATAAACACATGAGATTTTAACATGGAGGATAAAAGGTTTACTGCAGACATTTCATTTAAGATACAAAACAATGTTAAAAAGGCAATTGGCACAGGCGGTTAAAACATGACAAATTATAATTAATATGACATAACACAAAGCAAAGGTGAAATAAACAAAACAAGCTAACAGTTTAATGGCAGGTCTGGCTTTAAAAAAAACGAGATTAAGATTAAGGATTATAAGGGTCACTAATATGTAATGGAATATTTACAGTAATTAATTAGTCATTTAAGAGGAAATGTGAATGGGGCATCCACCCTATAAACCACAGGTACTGACACAATAAGGGCATTGGTGTGGGTTGTGCTGCAAGGCCTTCATTATGTGTGTTTTGTATTCCGTTTGCACATGCCCTCAACACACGTGTGCCCCTGTGTGTTCAACGTCATGTGGACAACACCATAAAATACGGGGCTTACCGTGTGTTTGTGTGTCTTCTCCAGCAGCTGAAGAATGCTCTTGGCCCAGATAAACCGGGACTCCCAGGGAATGCCAGAGTTTCACTCACAAAGTTATTTTTACATCTGCTTTGTTTGCCTTATGTGTCCAAAGATGTCAATAACATTTCTGTCATCTCTTTGTGCATTTGTAATAAGCCATGAGTGGATCAAGTCTGTCAACATGAGCGTGCAGGGTCCATTTTAAAGGATACAACCTCAGTTCCACATTTAACCAAAACATGACCTTGCAACTTTCAATCTTTTTTGTTGCTATATTTTATTTAAATGTGTTTCATTGTAATGTTTATTTAGGGGGGGTTTTGTGTCCGTAACTTATTTTCTGCCTAATCCTCCCCCTACGCTGGCATTTTAACATCATATTTCTTTTGTGTGTTTATTTTAGTAATTTAAAGTTTGAATCTGTGTTGAGATACTGAATACATTAAGAATTGGTGCTTTAGTGAGAAACTTCAATAAACTCATCAATGAGTCTGCTTATTAGTCAGGGGTGTCCAAATTACGGCCCGCGGGCCAACTGCAGCCCGCCATCCATTTTTAATTGGCCCGTGTCAAAGTCCCTCCATCCATCTTCAACCGCTTATCCAGGGCCGGGTCACAGGGGCAACAGCTCCCGCTGTACCCATGCACCACCGTCGACCCAATAATGCCAATGCAATAACACAAGACTGTGGTGGCGGGGTGTGGTTAGCTCAGCTGCAGATGGTAGAGCAGGGGAGTGGTTCAGGGGATGGTGCCGGCAGGTGAGTAAGAAGCACAGGTGGAAGTGATCCTGACTGATTGTATCCCTTTCATATGCAGTGAGCAGGACTTGGAGGAGAGTGGAAAGCCAGACGCTCAGGGGCGAGGCCGAGGAGCGGAGGCGACGAGCGAGCAAACAAGTTACTGAATAAAGTCTGTTGTCACTCCCTTACGTGCGTCTAAGCGTCCTTGCAAGATCCCACGGAGCTATCTATACGACGGCTACAGTGTCGCCCGGCCAAGGATGGACGCAAAGGAGCACCACGGAGAGGGACTGACGCAGCCGGCGGTGGGGGAGATCGCGGCGATGCAGCGTGAACAGGCCGAGTCCAACTGGCACTTCCTGGGGGCGCTGCAGGCTCAGGCGGACCGGCAGACCCGGGTGTTGGAGCATTTGGCAGCCCGGCCGGTCTCTGCCCCACTGGCGCCGAGTTCCCCGGCGTATGCAGGGGTGGTAATGCATAAGATGACCCCGTGGACGAGGTGCAGTCGTACCTCGAAATGTTCGAGGCGATGGCGGGGGCGTGTGCATGGCCGGAGGACGAGTGGGCGATCCGCCTGGTGCCGATTGTGACCGGGGAGGCGCAAACAGCCGCCCTGAGTCTGCCACCCGGGAGACCATTCGCCCAGGGGCTCAGGGTGGCTGCAGCCGGGGGGCGCGGGAGGAGCGCCGGCGGTGGTGGTGGAGCAGCTCCTGGAGGGTCTGCCCTCGCTGAGGACCACCTGGCGGTTCATCCCGGCGGGCAGGGAGAGGGCGGTCGGCCTCTCCTGGGACGCCATTTCACCCTCTGTTCAGACCATTCTCGGCTGCAGTGGCTCCACCGAATGGAGGATGCCAATGCCCGGATCACTCGGTGGTATCTGGCTCTACAGCCTTTTAACTTCAAGGTGTTTCATAGGCTGGGGGCGCAGATGGTCGTGGCGGACTTCCTCTCCCGCCCTCAGGAGGGAGAGGGGGGGGGTGTCAGTTGTGGATCTTTGTGATCTAAATCAGTATTGGCTTTCAGAAAGGAGTTTGTGTTTATTAATGAAGGTATCCAATCTACCCATAAATAATTTTTCCAAAATTTTGGAAATTGTGGAAGTAGAGAAACAGGCCTATAATTTGTGAAATGGTGTCTGTCCGCAGATTTATAAAGTGGAATGACTTTTGCAATTTTAATCTCTTCTGGAAATGTACCCACTTAAAATGACAGATCACAGATGAAGGTCAGAGGCTGAATAAGTTCCTGATTATTGTCTTGTCAACGCCATCACAGTCAGTTGACCTTTTATTGTTTACATTTACTGACAATATCTAACATTTCTCTTTCTCCCACTGCAGTGATAAACATTGAATAAGTATTTCTGTTGATTAATGTTTCATTTAGAGCTCCAGATGTTGAAGGATCTGGGATTTTTTCTGCCAGTTTGGGTCCCACACTTTCAATATTTATTGAAATTATGAACCACATCTTTACTGTCCTCAAAATTTTCATCATTATTTGTAAAAAACTGTCCATCCTCAACTGGCTCCTTTTCGAGGCAAAGGAGCAGCGGCTCTACTCCGAGCTCTTCACGAATGACTGAGCTTCTCACCCTATCTCTAAGGGAGACGCCAGCCGCTCTCCTGAGGAAACCCATTTCGGCCGCTTGTACCGGTGACCCAGTTCTTTCGGTCATGACTCCTTCATGACCATAGGTGAGGGAAGGAATGAAGATTGACCGGTAGATCGAGAGCTTTGCCTTTCGGCTCAGCTCTCTTTTTGTCACAACGGTGCGGTAAAGCGAGTGCAATACCGCCCCCGCTGCTCCGATTCTCCGGCCAAACTCACACTCCATCTTCCCCTCACGTGTGAACAAGACCCCGAGGTACTTGAACTCCTTCACATTCCCTACCTGGAGTGGGCCATCCATCGGTTTCCTGCTGAGAACCATGGCCTCAGATTTAGAGGTGCTAATCCTCATCCTGACCGCTTCACACTCGACTTCGAAACGCTCCAGTGAGAGTTGGAGGTCACAGACAGAAGATGCCATCAGGACCACATCATCTGCAAAAAGCAGCGATAAGATCCGCAGCCCCCCGAACTGTAGACCCTCCTCCCCCGACTACGCCTCGATATCCTGTCCACGAAGACCACAAACAAGATTGGTGACAAGGCATGAAGTCAGATAAAAGGTTACATTCATTGGTAACCTTTTGCAGTGTGGTCTCCAGGAGCTTAATTTTTTGGTCGTACTCCTCATTCTCCTGTGTTATGGATGCAGCGTTTGACTCCACACGTTTTAAGTGCGCCAACCTTTTCTGCTGCAAGTCCACCTCTTCTTCCAGCTTTTGATGTTTAGAAGACATTTCTTCGTTTACTGCTTTTTGGTCTCTGTAGATTGAGTCAAAATGTTGATGATTTTTGACCTTAACAAGGAGATTCTTCACCTCTTTTTGAAGGGTTTCACATTTTCTCCTAGCAATGCCTTCCTCCTGCCTGTGATGGTCATACTTGTCATTTTTAACCTTCAAACATTCCCATCCTGCAACCTTTATTCCGCTCATGTGAATTTTCATGCGCATAGACTTAAGAACTTCGCAGATCTCCCTCAGGCTCATATATTCTGCGTTGAACTGTTCAGATGACTCTGGTGGTCCCTGGTTGGAAACCGGCAGATTCGTTGTATATCCTTCAGCCATTTCTCCTGTTTGATTTAAAAGTTGGGTAAAATACTTCTGTGTACACGATAAAACTTGAAAACAGCGTTGTATTGTCAGTGGTCAAAGGTTATGAACGGATGCAGGACTGAGAACAGAAAGCGTGCAGCTCTCAAGAAGTCCAGTGAAGTTATGAGGGACAAAATGGAACCCAACAACAAAGCACATCGGAACACAGTGACACGTTCTATGATGTCAATGGCGTTGCCAAGCAACAAGGAACTACTTATGTTGCATCATCGGTAATGTGGACATGAAAGAGAAATCGTTTTTTTTAAGCTTCAAAAGTCATATATATCTGGATATATGAGTAAAAAATACAAACACTTTCAATATGTGAAAATATAAACAATAAAAGTTAAATTAAGACTTGAGACAGTAATAATGACTATGTTGTGGGACCGGGTACTGCATAGATTTAAGGCAACAAGCGACCAACTCCAAAGAAGCGATATAGATTTAGCTACTGCTCTTGGCTTT